GCTGGTTGACGGTGGCTGGTTGACGGTGGCGGGTTGACTGTGGCTGGTTGACGGTGGCTGGTTGACTGTGATGGGTTGACGAGGGGTTGACTGTGGCAGATTGACGGTGGCTGGTTGACGGTGGCTGGTTGACTGTGGCTGGTTGACTGTGGCTGGTTGACTGTGGCTGGTTGACTGTGGCGGGTTGACTGTGGCATTGCTGTTTTTTTGAACGATGTTAGTCCTCAGGAATATCTTAAACAACTCTTTAAATCCTTTAAAGGATATCTTCAGGATCATAAAAACTCCAAAGTCACGGCAAGTCTAGTAAACTATGGTTTGATTTATGTATGAAAAAGTCAAAATGACTTTAATTCGAAAGGCCAAGAATCTTTTGAAAGTAGCATGGATCTGAATAAAATTGGTTCCAATCAGGTATGACAAATTTGATATAAGTTATAGTCTTCATTCTCGTGGTATATTCCCATCAAAACGTATTGATGAAATTGATAACAGTAACACCCAATCGTCCAAACAAAACAAAACCTGAGAAGTGATTTGTAACAATCAAATATTTAATAGGACAATTCTCTGCATAGAATGCATCAGAGTTCATCTGAATGTCTTCACAAATGTAACATACTGGTGGTAATACTACACGACCATACATTGTATAGCACCAATCATCGTAACTTTCAATATCCACTCTACTGTTCATTAATTACAGAGATATGAGATATAGGTCCTTGATATTATTCGTGTAAAAACCTCATCCCACCTACTTGATTTAAAAAGATATCGGCCATTAAATGAAGAATCAATAAATCTTGGAATAAAAATCCCAAGCCATTTGCTACAAAGAAACTTGTGTAAAATGTGACAGTGTTTCAAATCTGCTCAATCATTGTTACTTAAGTGTGAATAAGATTCTGAAGTTGCTTTTGAAAAATTAAGAAAAAAAAATTCCATGAAAAATATGTATATAAAAAAGCAAACATTGACAGTGATAAAGTGGAAATCAAAAAAATGAATATCAACTTTTTATCTTTTAATGGCCGACTCATACAAAACAATCTACAATATTAACAAATGAAAACAAAATGTCTAGCAGTCTATATGTTAGCATACATAATGTAAATATCAATCCTACAAAACACACCAGAAAATCAGGAATATTGTTCTACATCAAATTATTTATTACAAATGCTGATCATCGTGCTATCATACAAAAATCGACTAGAATACTTCAGTCATCAAAACTGCACTAACAGATATGTCAAGGATTTCATGTAACTATATCTATGAAGTAAAAGACTTATCAACAAGGCTATGTTTGAACCTAGTCAATCTCCATTGATATTTTTATGCGTTCATAAACATGTGAACGTAATTGCCACATAAACTTTCTGTGCTGATTTGCTTGCTGATTAATGATTTGTTGTTCAAAGCAAAACTACATTTTAAAAACTGCAAAAAATCACTAATTACCAGCATTATTCACGATGTAAATAAATGTATACGGAACAGATTTTGCATGGAAACAGATCATCTACATATGTGTGATGGAAAATCTAGCACTTAACTTTTATTTCTCATGTGCCGCACGTTGATGTGTGTGAAAGACAATATCCATGTCATCTGACGCATTCATTTCTTTTGAATCATCTCGGTTGCATTAATAGTTTGTACATTTTTATGATTCAGTAACGATCTGTCACGAATCAGTAACGATCTGTCACGAATCAATATTCTCAACATTCGAACGTCTTTCCACATTTCCTACAATATAAAAATAAATTTCTGTAAACATTTACCATTCAAACTAGATCGCACACCAAACACTCAATATCATACTGATATCTAAACACCTAACAAAATCGTCACTTCTACAAATTGTTTCAACACAATTTGTTTTCACATTTCCATGCATGTCACAGTTCCCCAATGTTTAAAATATCCTAATACTTTAATAAGTTAGATAATTTACATACAAAAGTAAGTATGAAACAACAGCGCTAAACAATTAAGATGAAAAATAATCATCCAATTCGAGAGGTTCTACTATAAAAGAAAAAAATCCTGATGCTTTCTAGTATCTAGACAACCAGCCCATAAAAATTCTAAATTACACTTCATGCACATGTATTCATCCTGGTACACGAATCATATGTATACAAAAAGGCATACAGATGAACAGCTTGATCAATTTCAGTTACATCATGAAGTTTTGAAAGACTTGAAACATTCAGTTACGCTGCAAATTCCTCTATAAATGTTTATTTAATGTTTAATTTGATAGATAGTGAAATAATGGTCACTTTAACACTCCAGTGTCCTTAAAATAGGTACACAATTTATCTCTGATCAAGTCATTAAACCACTAAAGAAAGAAAAAAGTGATGTGTGCAAGAAAAGTTTCAAGAAGCACTAAGGTAAAAAGCTATAGATCCCTGAGTTGAAACAAAATGTGCTTGAAAAAAATCAGATTCTTTTGAATTGAAGTTCTCAATAAACCTAAAGGTTACATTTTCATAAATGTACGGATGACATTTCCATAATCCTACCGATGACATTTTCATTATAAACGCATGTATGAAAAGTCTGTGCAAAGAAAAAGGAAGATTATCATTGCTTGACCATAAGTAGAAAGGTAGACCTATTTTGACTAGAATGCATATAGTACTATGATAAATAAATGCATATTTACAATATATGGCATTAACTAATGGCAAGAATATCAGGTATTAATATCATATGTATCCATAATCAAATGTTCAATGGAGGACAACTGATATCAAGGAGGTAACACTCTTAATGTTATAAATACGAGCAGGACATTCAGGAATTTCTTCATTCTTATCTTTGTTCTTGAAATAACTTGGTGTTACCCATTGAACAATTGATCTTTTAAAGATTTGGACTATGTATTCCGTAGTATTATGAAATCACTGTATGGACTTCCTTGTCCTGACTTTATGATACATGATGATTATATTTGACAGAACTCACAAAATTATGTTGCATATAAATGGCATAGTACTTCTCTGGATTTTGGGAAGGGAGAGGGGGCACAATGTACAAACTATACAAGTATATACAATAAAATGTTAATTACAGGTGGGGAGACTATGACATGCCTTATGCTAATACACTGTAATACTAATATAAATTCAATATCACATTGAAGCCATTTGTTACTGTAACATGCATTTTACATATTTAAGTAACAACCATATTTGGACAAATGGACATATATCATCTATAGTCGATGTATGTATAATCTTCCTGACATTTCAGGTATTTCCCTCAATAATGCATGTCCTGAAAGGTCAATACATTACTGATATATAAATACGATCAGATAGAGGAAATTTTGGTCCCTGACAATTTGACAAAGAATTATAAAAGATGAATGAATTGTCATGAATACATACGACCAGTTGATTTCAGCAAAAATATGAAAATATGTTTTTGATTTCAATACATTGTATATTAGTTAAATAAATTGACACAGGTCTCGAAGGATTACAATATATTATAGGCTAATACATATGCATGGCTGATGTTTAATGTGTAATTCAATTTTCTCAAACTGCTTAATCAAGATTTCTCTTCTTGGAGACCAATGTTCACTTAGAGGGAAAACAATATCAGTTAATAAAGTCTGATAAAAATCTACAGAAATAACTTTATAAAGAGGAATTTCTTCAATCAGAAATATTCAATTTGAATTGTGTAATTGAATGGCACATTCAAACATTCGATACAACATGTTCACAGAGCCTCTCTCATTCTAAATGTGTCAACATTAGCAAACATTACTAGGCAACATGAGCTAATATATATATATTGAAAGCAATAACTGCAGCAAGTTCAAATGCTGTCGTTGTGAAAACTAGACTTCTAAACGTTATATTTAGAAGTCTACAGTATAGAGGTATGTTGATCTGTAAATTTCACTTAGTCATGAAATCTGCAACAAATCATCATTTGATGGACATGACACAGTTCAGTACATATGCACTTGGATAAAAAGTGTGAAACTAAAATTCCTGTTCATGTGTCGTTGTCCTTGTGGCTTTAACATGCTGCAAATTATATTTGAATTATTGTATTTTCCAGTAGACTCTGAAGATATGAAATTAGATATTATGATGAATATTCATAAATAATCGCAGAGATCAAGTTCACAAGACAAATAACATGAACAGCAGTGACCGTTATCTTTACAGGATAAACTCTGGATGGCTTTCTACGTTCCAACCATTATTATTGATATGTATTAAAAACTGGACGAGTACCATGCATTTTATGTCAGGTAGTTTCAAATCTTTACAATTTCTGAACTTAAAACTAAATCAAACACAACCTTTCTGTAATACATTTCCTCACACATTTTGTATCCTTTATACAAATCAGAAATGACTGGTACAATGGCTGCACCCATTATATATCATTCAGAAAAATGCTGACAATTTGAAAAGATACCTTCTTGGTCACAATTAACAGAATGATTTTATAAATAGGGTTTTCATAACATGCCTGAAATGCACATTTGTGGATGGAAGATCACTTCCATACTATTTGCTGTATTTTTCACCAAAACATATTGTACTACCAGTTTTATTTTGGAAACAATTAGATCAAAGATTTGTTTTTTTTCTGTGTGAAATTATTAATACACCGTTTTAGTGTAAAAATGGTTCTTTGTATTGTAAGTGTATAGACTACAAAACTAGAAAACGCAAAGGCTGGGCAAGCTTTAGAAGCAGCACCTTAGCTACGTGACTACTCCATCATGCTATTTAATTTGTACTGCACACAGTCCATACAAAGTATAAACATGAAATATTTGATTGAAAATGTATCACCATTGTATGCTGAGTCGATCCAATATCGTTAACATACAACAAGCATGTCAAAAGTATCAAGTTCAAACACAAATCATCATTAAGAAACATGTCACAATTAAAATTGTTTCCAATGTTTCTCTGATATAAACAAAAATATATCAACCTTTCTCGTATATATAAATTTACGATCTATAAATTATAACTTGTCATGACTGGTCAGATCTCAGTTGTCTTAAGGCCATCCAACATCAGTGTATCCATGCCATTGGTCTCAGTCTTATCTACATGACCATTCATTGGCTTATGGTTGTTAGCCTGGCCATTGGTCTTGTGAATCTTTGAATCCTCATGTGCTTTCAGTGCTGCTGTGAGGTTCATGTCTGGTGGCCCAAAGGTTGTAGTCTTGTCATACTCGCCGAGGAAATTGAGAGATCTTTCCTGAACATCGTACGGGTGGATTTGAGCAGGGTCCACGGCATTGTTATCGATCGAGTCATTATCCCTGTAACATACAACAATTAAAATGAATGTTTTGACATATTGTAGAAGTGTAAAGATACACTCTGTTTTCTTTACTATATAGAAGGTTATTATCATGGTGGTGTTGCTTAAATGATAAAGTCAGCAACTGATCATTTCACAATATGATCTACAAAAACAATCAAGCAATGATATTGATATTTTTACATTAACTAAACAGAGGATGTGTCTCTTCATTCATCTATTCATTTCACATTTTATATCTTGGAAATTAACTGCCATAAAACAATGTAAAATCACCAAAACCATCAGTATATCATATCATTTCCTCAAATGTTCTTTGAAGTATACAAGTAAAAATGCATGCTTTAAGAAATCTAGGTAGAACATGATTTTAAAATGTCCTCTTTTGAAGCATCAGCAACAATATATTGACAATTAGTTATATTTTCTTTACATTTCTTAGACCAAAAATGGTATAAGAGATATTAAGTTTGACATCCAGAACATGGCATTACTTCAGTTATAATAAACTGGAATATCATATTCATTTTATAAGAAAAGAGTGAATACATAAGAATCAATAAGCATCATCACCACAGTTGAACCTGGCTATTAAATATATCTTCAAAACCTTAAATCAAACAAACAAATAACCCATACACCATTAAAGTGAAATGTCACACTGTTTTCCCCAAGAAATAAAATGTGATAACTATTTTGTTGAAACCTTGCAAAATTAGGAAAATGTGAGTTGTCCAGTCCTTTACAAGATGTTCAGTGAATACCTTGTTACCAACATGCAGTACTGGTATAAGAAACAAACCATTCATAATTTTGTCCCTTAACTTTCAACTTATTGAAATTTGAAAAAAAATGTATATTTGTAAAACAGCATGACAAATTAAATCATGTGAACTATGGAAAGAATATCCAGTGAACCAGAAACTAATTAAGCAAATATTCTACAAATGTATTGTGGACATTTAATACCTATTTTAGGTTGCAGACCTTTACGCTGAAGTTGTTCTAGATCTGAGTGGTAAAATGAATTAATATATATTTATTAACACAATCAACAATGTTTAATGAAGACAGATGTAGCATTCTTGAATAAGATTCTAGGATGAAAGGTTGTCAGACTGGAAGAGAGTCTGTAACATATCAAAATTGTTTTGCGTTCCAAAACTTGACTGGAGATGTCTATTTACATTTCTATGGCATATAATTGAAATATCTTAATGTCTAATTTTGTAAAGAATCTTTCTACTTCAGCAAGTAATTTTGTACCAAGGATGGAAACAACATATGATTATAGTTGAAACGATGAATTACTAAAGTGAAAAAATACATTTACAATATTTATCCATAGATAAAACAATAGTTAAAACAATAACTGATGAAAAGTATTCTTAATGTACGCAGCAAAAATAAGTATCATTTAATAATCAGCTTTCGATATGTAATGTTGACATAATACAGGTATGTAAATTATTCACATGTATCAAAGCCTTTCATCATACATGATCAAATCTCCGTACTTGTTTGAGTTACTATTTTCAAACTTGTGACCTGTTTGATGATTCTGCAACCAACAGTTAGAATTGGAAAAAGAGATTTATATCTACAGTCAACATTTCTGAACTTAAAATACAGCATAGAAAATTGATGGAGCAGGTCTTCAGAATAGAACAATCGATAGGAAAGTGAGTCGGAGAGTACCACGGAATTAATGAACACAGAAGACAGAAAAATATTATGTAAAAGTAAAGAAGGATAAATTAGATTGCATAAAACAAGGACAGAGACTGGCATAGTATACACGGTATATTGATGGAAGTGCAAAAATAACATCCATAAGTCATTGTGACGTCAAAAGACCAGAAATAGTTTGTTTATTTGAATGATCACTCATCAAGTTTATAAGTCATTGTGACGTCAAAAGACCAGAAATAGTTTGTTTATTTGAATGATCACTCATCAAGTTTATAAGTCATTGTGACGTCAAAAGACCAGAAATAGTTTGTTTATTTGAATGATCACTCATCAAGTTTATAAGTCATTGTGACGTCAAAAGACCAGAAATAGTTTGTTTATTTGAATGATCACTCATCAAGTTTATCTGAGACTGTTTTTATGTATCACTATAGTACATAGAAAAGCCATGTAAGTCATCTCAGACAAATAACAGATATACATGTAATTGAACAAAAGATGACCACATCTGGACCAAACAAGTTTTAAAATGTAGCATAATGAAAACACTAATGTGAAACAATACTTACTCAACTTCCCCAGCATCTTCTAACAGCACCTTCTCCATAAATATAGGGTTTGCACTGGAATGGAATGTGTTATGTCAGATAAGTTCAATAAAATATCCTTTAACTCAATTCGCATGATATCAGTAAAGGCTTTGTTTTTTCTCTTGATTCTTAATTTGGTAATTTGTAAATTTTACAGAAATTGAAATCAAGTATCTTCCAATGAAAATAGCTTTCTGAGTCATTTTGATGTCAAAATCCATCAAAAATTTTGATCAGAACTTTTAAATAATGGCTTCAACAGTTTAGTTTTAAATTATATCACAAATGATGCAAACTTTGACTGACTGATGAATCAATCTGAATCAAAATCAGATATCTTGTGAGAGAAACGACATATTCAAACAAGAGGATAACAGTGATTTAAGATGTGGTTGAAAGTTCAAAATTTTGATGGAATCGAGTGTCAACTATCAATCAAACTATACTTAATTATACATAAAGCATGCATGATAACAGAGTCTTTGTTAAATTTGGAATGTAATTAATTCATCTTTAATCACATTTATACTGAATATTTCTGTAATATCCAAAATAAGTGATAACTAACTGTAGCAGTAAACCCTCGATATACTGCCCTAGCTTGTCCCTCGATAACCGTCAAAATTTTTATAATTCAATCATTTTTCTGTTTTCTTTCACAACTTTTTTCAAGTTTCCATGAATGCATTGCCGAATCACCTCATTATACCAAAATAATATGTAAAAAGACTGACAGCATAACAAGATTTCACTGCAACATACCCCTTTATCCAATAAGCTTTTACAATCTCGGAACAAAGAAGTGTTTGAAAAACGTGCTCAAATTTGCATTAGTTATAAAACATAAAATGAACACAAAATCAAAACCATGCAAGGAGACAAATATTATGTTAGAGATGACTGTTTTTATTTACATCAACTTTACAAGTCAGCCTCAGTGAGATTATACGCAGATCCCATATAAACTGCACATGTTCAAGACAAACATTCAGATGAACACTTTGTAACAAACTTCATTCTGAATTTCATTCACATTTGTGTGTCAGAGTTGAAGCACAGCAGACAAGGCATGAACTCTCAAAATACACAAAATTTAAATTCATTGCACTAAATGTTGACAAATGTCCTTTACCACCATGTATAATTATTTCAATGTGGTTACAGTATTCACATCATGTAGTACTTTTGTCTGACTGAAAGATTGCATGTTCCTGGTTGTTAATGATCATAATCCAAATACATGTGAAAATTAACTTTTTTTCAGTGTGATTGTAGTTTAGCTAAAAGTTGATGCGTTCTTGATTTACAATAATGCCAAGGAGAAATTTGGAGATGAGGATTACGCCTAGAATGGTTTCTGTGACTAGCTATAATTTGGAGTTGAGGATTACGCCTCCTTTCTGTAACTAGCTATAATTTTGAGATGAGGATTACGCCTAGAATGGTTTCTGTGACTAGCTATAATTTGGAGATGAGGATTACGCCTCCTTTCTGTGACTAGCTATAATTTGGAGATGAGGATTACGCCTAGAATGGTTTCTGTGACTAGCTATAATTTGGAGATGAGGATTACGCCTCCTTTCTGTAACTAGCTATAATTTGGAGATGAGGACTGTGACCAGCTATAATTTGGAGATGAGGATTACGCCTCCTTTCTGTAACTAGCTATAATTTGGAGATGAGGATTACGCCTCCTTTCTGTGACTAGCTATAATTTGGAGATGAGGATTACGCCTAGAATGGTTTCTGTGACTAGCTATAATTTGGAGATGAGGATTACGCCTCCTTTCTGTGACTAGCTATAATTTGGAGATGAGGATTACGCCTAGAATGGTTTCTGTGACTAGCTATAATTTGGAGATGAGGATTACGCCTCCTTTCTGTGACTAGCTATAATTTGGAGATGAGGATTACGTAGAATGGTTTCTGTGACTAGCTATAATTTGGAGATGAGGATTACGCCTCCTTTCTGTGACTAGCTATAATTTGGAGATGAGGATTACGCCTAGAATGGTTTCTGTGACTAGCTATAATTTGGAGATGAGGATTACGCCTCCTTTCTGTGACTAGCTATAATTTGGAGATGAGGATTACGCCTAGAATGGTTTCTGTGACTAGCTATAATTTGGAGATGAGGATTACGCCTCCTTTCTGTGACTAGCTATAATTTGGAGATGAGGATCACGCCTCCTTTCTGTGACTAGCTATAATTTGGAGATGAGGATCACGCCTCCTTTCTGTGACTAGCTATAATTTGGAGATGAGAATTACACCTAGAATGCTTTCTGTGACTAGCTATAATTTGGAGATGAGGATCACGCCTCCTTTCTGTGACTAGCTATAATTTGGAGATGAGAATTACGCCTCCTTTCTGTGACTAGCTATAATTTGGAGATGAGGATTACGCCTCCTTTCTGTGACTAGCTATAATTTGGAGATGAGGATCACTCCTCTGTGACTAGCTATAATTTGGAGATGAGGATTACACCTCCTCTCTGTGACTAGCTATAATTTGGAGATGAGGATTACGCCTCCTCTCTGTGACTAGCTATAATTTGGAGATGAGAATTACACCTAGAATGGTTTCTGTGACTAGCTATAATTTGGAGATGAGGATTACGCCTAGAATGCTTTCTGTGACTAGCTATAATTTGGAGATGAGGATTACGCCTCCTTTCTGTGACTAGCTATAATTTGGAGATGAGGATTACGCCTCCTCTCTGTGACTAGCTATAATTTGGAGATGAGGATTACGCCTCCTCTCTGTGACTAGCTATAATTTGGAGATGAGGATCATGCCTCCTTTCTGTGACTAGCTATAATTTGGAGATGAGGATTACGCCTAGAATGGTTTCTGTGACTAGCTATAATTTGGAGATGAGGATCACGCCTCCTTTCTGTGACTAGCTATAATTTGGAGATGAGGATTACGCCTAGAATGGTTTCTGTGACTAGCTATAATTTGGAGATGAGGATTACGCCTCCTTTCTGTGACTAGCTATAATTTGGAGATGAGGATTACGCCTCCTTTCTGTGACTAGCTATAATTTGGAGATGAGGATCACGCCTCCTTTCTGTGACTAGCTATAATTTGGAGATGAGGATCACGCCTCCTTTCTGTGACTAGCTATAATTTGGAGATGAGGATCACGCCTCCTTTCTGTGACTAGCTATAATTTCTGGAGATGACAACTCCTTTCTGTGACTAGCTATAGCTAATTTTCCAGATGAGGATACATATATATATAGCTATAATTTGGAGATGATCACGCCTCCTTTCTGTGACTAGCTATAATTTGGAGATGAGGATCACTTTTCCTTTCTGTGACTAGCTATAAAAAACTGCTATAATTTGGAGATGAGGATCACTGATTCCTTTGCTGTGACTAGCTATAATTTGCCATGAGGATAAACTAGCTATAATTTCTGAAACAACTCATTTTACTTCTGGATTTTCCAGATTTGGTTACATATATATAAGGAAATGCTTAAAGATGATTTGATTCAAGGTCACAAGCTTTTCTTTATTACAACTTTTCTTTATTTATTACGTCAAAAACTGCTATAATACTAACAGTATCACTGATTTCATTGCAGTTGCCTGATGGTAAATGCCATGAATAAAGTAACTTTAAGTTTTTTCATGAGTTTCGATCATAACTGTTGTGGGTATGATGCCAATTAAATGAATGAGATCATAACTGTTGTGGGTATGATGCCAATTAAATGAATGAGATCATAACTGTTGTGGGTATGATGCCAATTAAATGAATGAGATCATAACTGTTGTGGGTATGATGCCAATTAAATGAATGAGATCATAACTGTTGTGGGTATGATGCCAATTAAATAAATGAGATCAAAACTGTAAGTTCAAAATATACAAGTAACTACGGTATGATATTTACAATCTGTCATTTGTTTGAAATGGATTCTGATTAACAGTGAACTTTGTTGTTTGCTACCAATCATTTTATTCTAAAAGTGAAGTTGTTAAAAACTGAAAAGTAGAAAGCAACCAAAAACAGTATTTTGAGTGAGTCTTTGTGTAGATTTATAACTGAGGATGGTCATTCCACTTATGAATTCAACACACCTGACAAACATCAGTGCAAACTGCATATATATCAAACAGTACATGCGAGGAGCGAAGGGAAAATATAAATGCAGATGTTTGACATAAACAGTTGACAACATATTACCGAACCTAAAATCTTGTTTCTGTCTCAAATACTCTGTTCATTGAAAGGCAGAAAGGAAAAGAAAAATTACAAAAAATGTTTCAAAACTCACAATTAATAATGAAATAATGATGCATGGGATGCCGATAATTATATCAATTCAATCCCATTTAAATTTGATATGAAACGAAAAAAGGAAAAAAAGGAGAAAAAATTAACTGCATGCCAGTTTATCACTAACAAAAACAACAGGTAACCTTTAAACTACACACCTAAATATGATGCAGTTACAATAATTTAATTCACACAAAGTCATAAACATTTTTTTCTAAAAACTAACTTATTCAAAATCTCAAACTAAAGTTGGAGCAAAGAGAAAATAGCATGCCATACCTACTGATGATTTGATAACTCTTTAGCTACGTATCTGTACAATCATGTTCCAGTATATGTCTGATCCTATGTAGGCATGCAAGATGTTTGTATTTATAATAGTATTGAATATCAAACAGCTTTGACAATTTACTATTACTAATTCTGGAAAAAACACCTTGCCCCAATTTCACTGATGTTTCTTCACCTTTGGAAATAAATCACAAAAATATTTCCCTTTGGGAGGGTACACTAACTTAAAAATTTTCTTTGGGTTTGGCAACGGTTTTCAAGGTCTTTCCAATACTGTGACCTCTATCTAGGTAGCGTTTCTCAATCAGCCATTTCCCATTTATCCAAAAGTGTGTGAAAATGATACTCTTGACTTAAGAAAGACATAAATCTTTTTTTCACATTTTTGAAGTGGTTAATGATAAATACCCCTTTTTCATGTTTTTCAAGTGCTTAATGATAAAAATAGAAAGAAAACACAAAAATTCAACAAGTAATTTTTTAACTACCCTAAATATATCATTAAAATATAGTAGATTCGGTATATGATGTCCGTGAATGTGACTAAAAGTGGTATTGAGGGTGAAGAGAGTATGAAACATTCTTGACAATGGGTCAATATCCCAATAGTGAAGTAACAAAGGAATGAAAATCATATACATATATAGACATTCTAAATGTTATATAATAAACAGAACTCAACGCATTAAAACACAACTTTTACAGAATAAATGGCTTGCGGTTTTACAAACATATAATATATGCAGATACTGTACAATTTCACAATATATCAAGAAAAAATCTAAACTATTTTGCAGGTATTTACGATTGCATTCTATCTGACCGCGTTAGCCAAAAATTGTCGTAATGGGATCTGAAAAAATTGAATGAAGTCCATTACTCAATCACTGTTTGCTGGCTGAGACATTCAACTTTGTGGAAAAAATATTCAAACATTTTGATATCAAATTGTCTTTCAAAATTAGAATTGACATTGCATTTGATCAGAACTGAAAATGTAACACCAAGTCAAACCTGTCTGTATCATAAATCTTACAAAATCAATGAACCATAAAATTGCCCCTTTATGCACATTGAACCATTGCATTAGTGACATTGAGCAAGTTTCGTGAAAATCTGATGATTCTTTTAGGAGGAGTTGCGTTCACAAGAAATGGACGTACGTACGGACAGACAGACAGACAGACAGAGAAGATGACGCCAATATACGACCGCCTCCGGCGGCATATAAAAAATGTAATGAATTTTATCTAGTAGTGTTTTTTCTTTCAATAAAAAAGAAATATCAAACATGTTGGAACTACTAATCCAAACACAATTTCCACATGGTAATGAAATATCTTTAGTTTTAAAGAAATGGGCAATATTGAAAAGAACACTAATATAGAATTAATGAAATTTTGGATCTATATGATCACACTAGTGGTAAAAAATTCTAAAAAACAAATACAGATAAAATACTCTAGCAATATAGCTAACAGAACTTGGCAGGCTGCCCTATAATTATCACTAACAAGATCAATTAGCAGTAACTAAGATGAAAATAGTAATTTAACAATGAAATAATATATAGCATGTGTACAGGTGTGCAGAAGTGTTTGCCAGTGGTGATATAATAGAGGGTGACATATTTAGTATTGTGAAAAAGAAATGAAATAAAGATGTTGATCACACTTCTAAACTTTGTAAACAGCATGTAGACAAGTTAGATGGGTAACAGCTGTCAATGATATCACTAGATTCATAAATATTGGACAGTAAAATCGGCGCAAATAGAACATGATAAAACAGGACTAACTTAAAGATTAATTCATCTTCTTTTTTTCAACAAGGTATAGTCCTACAGCTCATACTTACTTTTCATATGCATGCATATTTGTGCCAGGCATTTCCAGTTTTTGCATATCTGAATCTTTCGACCCTGAAACAAATAAATGAATTGTGATTTATCATAGAAGCATTGAAAAATTGAGAGATTGATCTCGAATGAGTTGACTAGCGAGAAGTGTTTGCAGATATTTCCAAGTTTCCTGACGTTTCTCCTTCTTAGGTCAATTTTCAACCCATTGCTGACAAGTTGCATTACGTGCAATTATGAGCAATTTTAGATATGTAAATTAATTACATCCCAAACACAATATTATAGAACCATTTAATAATAAAAAACATGTTCCTGATTCTCATATATTATCCCATCAATGTATTTCCAAAACCAGATCTGATTTCTTCAGTTGGATCAAGATAGACCTAGATCAAACTGAGAAGGCTTTACATTCCTCTGACAGTAGTACTTTTAAACATGCAAACATTACAAGGAGATTACTGTAAAATTGTCATGTGGTTTGCAGTATCTTTTTGCTTTTTTATTATAATTTCTGCAAGAACGACGTTTGGAATAAACAAAGGTCTTAATGTAGTTGGAAGCATGCTTCGGCCCATCTTTGATATCTAGGGCCGTCTATCTTCCTATGTCTGTTCAAGTAGAATGTAAAAATTGTAACTGTTGTTCATGTTGCATGATCTTTAGAGGCAACTTCATTTTTTATCAAAACTTTTGATTTTATATTTTCTCTCCTGTCTTTCCCTTCCTTTTGATCATGCAAAACTGAAGACCCTAAACTGCCCTCAAAAATAATGCAAGTTGATTCAGCTGTTTATTGTTATGAAGGCTTTTAAATCTCTGATTTTATAGATGATGATGACAAGTCAGTCTTTGCAACAAACCAACTTGCTAGAACTCAAAAGTGAATTGAAGAGAAGAAAAAGATTCCTTTTATTTTGAAGTTAAGCTGTGAACATGAAGTATTGTATGCTATAAATGATTCTGGAGAATTCACATTTCATTTGAAGTGTTATGTTGTTTTTAAAATACTTATACTAAAAACAAAATATTAGTTTTTTGCAGATAACTTGATATATATATTGAAAACAAAATATGTCAGAAATACATGTACCGATTCCAAGCATGCCATGCAACTTTTTTTCAATTAACAAAACTCTCATTCATTAACTGTGGTTAGTTAAAATATCTCATCTTGCTTGTAAATTTCAACCTGAGCCTGTAGACTTAACACCTTGGCATTTATCTACAGGTTCCTATATGGATGCTTGGATACTCTATTATGTTTTGGTTGTTTTTACATAGTCCTTCCCATTAAAACCTGGACCTGTAGACTTACAGCTGGCATTGACTACAGTACAGATACACTATCATATCAATTTCAATGAGCAGAAGTTTCACTAACTGCTAGAAGCAGTCATTTAGTGTAGTCCCTCAGAATGCCATATGTTATAAAGTTTATAAGATAAAAAATTCTTGTGTAAATAAAGAACTTTGATTGATTTTGTTATTTTGTATAAATGTAAACCAACTTTGTTTTCCTGTCCTGATTTTTTACAAAACAACATGTTTGGGGTAATCAATCTAATCAGTGTTAATCATCTTGGTTTTCATTGGTTGCTTTACCGAATTTGTTTTCATTGCAGAATTTGCAAAAAAGAGTATATACCAAACCGAAGAATGTTGGTTTACAGGCTATCATTGTTTACAAACAATTCAAAACCGAAAAAAACTACAAAAAGGACAACAATTGAAACTGAGAACATAAAACCAAAACAAAAAAAGAACTATCAGTATTCAAATGAAAAATTTGAGTAATGAAACACTGTTTGAGAACAATGTTTCCAGATTCCTGTGTGTCTTCTCATGTTCAGGACAGTTTGTCAGTCTATCTTCCTAAAGATACAGAAGGTAAACATTTTTATAATATGATACTGAAGTTTGAAATAAAATAATGATCACAAAAATAAAACTCCCAGATACAATGATGCATGCAGTAACAATACAATAGCTACATACATGAATTTCCGGGTCCTCTATGGCCTGAGGGAACAAGATATTAAACATGGACTTGGTGAGTAGAATGGAACAATTTGGTAGAATATAAGACAGAGCAAGTAATGTTTATATATTGCAATCCACACTAACTTATCTAAATTGATCTCTTTGAAGTATTTTACATTGTAACCATAATTTCTATATCAATAATCACGATTTAAAATCTTAAACCAGAAAAAACATACAGGGTGAATAAAGATACATATAAATCACCAACAAGTATGATTATATAAAAACCGTTACTTAATAAATCAATGAGAAATCAAGTAAACCAAGTGAAGTCTGCATTAAAAACTGTTCTATATCTGCTTACCATATGCCATTGCTGTTGCTGCTTTTAGTTTCCTTTGGTATCTGGAAATAAAATTGATGTCATTAAAGATTTAATATCTAATACAGTGAACTTCTTTCGGATTAAACCTGAAGTAATCCCATCAAACAATATTTTCCTGTAATGTGAGTAGAAAGTTCACTAAATGGCTACATGTTTTATATCTGACACAAGAAACTGTTCAAATGACATAAAAATCTGGAGTTATATGCATCATTAAAATCCCCTTACAGCTTAAGTACTCTCAACCACATAAGACACATTTTATCAAGAATACCACGTATAGCCTTTTCTGTAGTCAATTAACTTTGTCATGTTGTCAAGGTATGATGGAGACAATCAACTTAATTGTAATATTGTCTAGATATGAATAAGAGTTATCTCCCTTCTTTCACATTTACGATCATTGTATCATTATTTACTTATCTTACTAAAAATTCTACTGTCAAAGTAATCTTACACAACCTTTGTACAACAAAAAATGTAAAAATGAGAATATCTTCCTCACTTTCACTCCACAAAATCAAAGAATCGACTAAAGAAAGGGGGCCTGTTTCACACATCATTATTTACAATTGCTGTGTTTTTCTCCAAATAAAACATAAGAATATCGACTGTATTTATACTCCAATAAATTTAGTCCAGAACGCGCTAGACGATGACGTAACAATATAGGCCTAGGAATACATTTACACACAAGTCAAAGGTTGCGGCACATTCATGTTTACAAACAAACACCATGTGTTGCTAGCATCGACCAAACGAGACTTTTAAATAAACGGTGATTAAATCTTATAAAATATTGGTTTTGTAATTTATTTTTGAAAAGGTCTTAAAAGATCTCATACACCATAAAAATAATTTGATTTCATGAAATGAAATAAATATCGCTGCACGCGGAGATGATCGTCTGCTCAACAGGTGCTGGTGAGAATGGCTGGATTTGGGAATTTTAACCTCTTGTTACCGGATGACAAAGAAAATATGGATCTTTCCGATTAAAACATTAACATGTAACGTGTTCGGTTTCACTTCCTGCCTCGTCGGCCAAGCTGCATTACGACTGACTTTCGCGTCTCGATGAATGTTGTGTTGCTATAGTAATTATTGAAGATGATTATGTTTTGTTTTAAATAAAAGTTCTGTAGTTAAAATTACTACACACAAACTATTCCATTCAGAAAACATGAATACAATAGTTGAAATCGACAAACTATTTGTTTGGTTTCCAAGGAGAAAAAAGTGGGCGGAGTCTAGCTGTCTTGGCAGCTGTTCCCGGAATTCAACGGAATGGAACGTCACTATCACTTTCGTATTTAATTACTTGGAAATGGCGAAACTGAAAGTGTTTTACTGGATTATTTTTGAAAGTAAAAATTGTAAATAAAAGGATTATATTTTATTTTGTCTTTGTTTATGAGGTAATAAATTCGCGTTTATGCAATTTACCGCGTGCTCTACTGGATTTATTACCTCATAAACAAAGAAAAAATAAAAGATAATCATTAATTACATTGTTTAATGGAAACTAAAATTAGAAAACAAAAACACAAAAAATCCACATGAAAATTAGATTTAAGTACTCTTCCAAATCTCGATTTTATTCATAAGTCATGTTTATCACCCGATAACCCAACTTTTAAACCAAATTTGGTTGCTACAATAATTGTACCTGCTGAGAAACTAGGCTAAATGTACACAGTGCACCAAATGATCTAATTTTGTCTTAAAAAATCCAACAGCTCTCATATAAGTTATTTCATTTAGTTTCTAATGACATCTCCTTAACTCCAATGCGTGCCCTGTAGGTGTGGTGTAAGTGATCATAAGAAGTCACTGAAGTTGGGATCTTTCCTGAAGAAATGTGTTTGTTAGAACCACATATAGCCTTTGGTTGATGAGATGAACATCTACCCATATGAGGTTCACCATGGGTATTACCTCCCAGGCATGGCAAAACGGTTGAAATAGTACATCTGACTACCTGCTCATCAATCAACATTAAGTGGTGTACACAAGGATTAATTTGTCAGTATGATGTGACATGCTACCCTCCCTGTCTAAGTTATGATATTTCGGTGTGAAGACACTATAAAGGGGTCTTTCAGTAGTCAAATCCTCCAAGGACATCGTCTGCTGTGCGGATTAAATCTTAAACGAATAATTCCTCGGCTACTTAGCATGAAAAGAACAGGTCTGCTCTATCCCATCACTTTTCATTTGACAATGCAAATGCAAAATCTGCTCCCGAGTGGGAAGGTTCTTAAAGGTGGATACTACTAAGAGAATATCATAAAGCTAAAACATATCTGTGAACCAAATTACAGTATTTGGAACATTTCTTTTTTCCCTATGTATCCTGTATTATTATTTTCTGTCATCTCTTTTTCTGTTGATCTCTATCTAATAGTCCAAACTTACTTGACCAAAAATGATTGCTCAACATCTTCTTTCCTTCCCAGCAACAATTTTTCCTATTTCTAACCTTATCACATTTCAGTACTGTGCACTATCTACTTGCACCTGAGTGACTCCATCATAAGAAGACACTATTTTTGCCATCAAGTATTAACACCTTTATGAATATGCTATCCACCATAGGTGCAATAAGAAATCTCCAGTTTGCAAATTAAATTTTTTTTAAAAATATGTTTCCATGACTTAAAAATTTACTTACTTAGTTTCCATATATAAACACAAGCCTTACTTCCATATAACCTTGTAAATATATTAAAAACAAGTGCCAGACCAAGCTTAGATTAAGACAGTCACAGTTATTCTTACAATATTTCATTTCCACTTCTTGATTTTGTATCCCTCCACAGCATTGGCCTTGACTGTTGTTAGGACTGAAGCCAAAAGCAATCAAAGAAAATACTTACTGCTTCCTAACAATATGAAGGACGATGGCTAATACAAGACAGGGGATGCCAAGTATGATTGCTATGAGAACAATGGACATCACTAATAAACGCTTGGAATCATCCTCCTCCTCCTCCTGTGTTGTAGGCTGTAACACAATATAGTCTATCAGCAACATCCAAAAAGTAAACATTCATTCTTGAAAACATTCAAACAAGTTGAAATAAGAGAACATTTGTAATCTTTTAACATTTTAATATTTTCAAGAACTGATCTTTTGCAAAAAATAGGAAGTGTGAACTTTAAGATTTTCTTTGAAATACCATAGATTAGGAAGAGTGTATAAAAATCCTGAATATCTTGCTACTATTTCTATATAGACTTAATATCAAACAAAAAGATACATACCACAATTTGAAGAATATTATACTCGTTCAAGACACCAATTAATTCTGCTGCATGAGCATCAATTTTACTGAAACAGACAAAATGGAATATACTGTAAGTATATGTGTAATTACTCAGGTATAAATTAGATATCAATGTGCATGCCTCAAAATTCATTTGCCATCTTTTGTTACTACACCTTCATAAAGTTGTTCAATCACTGACAAAACCAGAGGCCCAGAGGGCCTGTATCACTCACCTGGATCTTTATGACCAACATTAATATATCTGTGCATATGTTCCACATTTAACACATTTGACCCCTGTGACCTTGACTATGGGTCAAGGTCATTTCTTTTACTTTCTTGGACTTCATAAAAGGAACATAGTAGCCTAATATAATAATTCTAGGCCTTCCGGTATTTTGAAAGAAGTTGCTTAAAATGTGACCTTGAATATGGGTCAAGGTCATTTCTGTTTGCAACCTTTGTTAGGATTCATCAAAGGAACCTTCCAGCCAAATATGATAACTCTACGCCTTTTGGTATTTCAGAAGAAGTTGTTTAAATGAAAAGTTGATGGATGCCGGCCGTCCGGACGACGGACGCCATGCTACAGCATAAGCTAACTTGGCCCTTTGGGCGAGGTGAGCTAAAAATAATGAATTATCTGTATAGACATATGATGAATTTCATGAAGTGTGAATTAAGCATGATGGGGGAGAGATTCCTTACCCATAGGTTGCACCTAGGGAAAGTGATCTCTGTGGCATTTTCTGACCCCCATCTTAGACTTGTTAATGTTTTTCATAACATTGTTATCAAGAAAATTTGGTATATGATGTACATTCATGAGGGTTTACATAGGTACATTTATACATATACGTCATTAATAAAAATGGCCAATTTCAATTCATATTGAGTCTTTGTAGTTTATTTACAAGTCTAACTAGCTTGCCATGGTAGCTGTTCATAGTGGAATCATTTATAAATTATAATATTAATAGCATTGATTCAACTTACAGTGTTGAAAGTTAGATTAAGTCTACAGGAAGGTAAAATCACTTCTATCCTGACATCAAAAACAAGGAGGGAGGTTTTAAGATTATTTACTTTTTTTAGATTTTCATCTCTGTGTAAATTATCTGGGTAAGTCTTACCTCAACAGCTCAGAAGGTTCTATAATGGTGTTGGTGGCTTTATCTTCTGCATGAATGAACATATCAGTCCTATAAGCCAAACATAAATAAGTTCAATTTAAAAGTTAATCGTTTCAGATTTTGTAAATTAAGAAGTACAGTACCATCAGTGATCACTGATGCATGACAGGAAACACCTTAAACAGGGCAGCTATTGAGAATGGATAGCATAAAATAAATAATGATCTTATCAGCAATGTTAATGAAGTCACTTTCCAACAACACTAGCGCTTTACCTGATTCAAAGTAACATGTTTACTGTAGGTAATTTTGTGTGATTTTCAGAAGCTCCACTGAGCTGTACCATCATATAATGTTTTCATTAAAGACCAACAAACATGAAATTGCCTCAAGGTGTTCACTGACCAGTATCACATTGATATATGGTGCAGCTTGTGGCTGCTTTGACATTTCTGTGAAAACAAATTCAGGAAAAAAATTCTATCAAAAGCCATTAAAACATTTAAAAATCATTAATTACAACATAACACTGAAGGATTAAGAATACTTTTAAGATATATTGAGAAACAAACTTAGGAACATTAAAATAACCAAATACTATACATATAATACAGACCCGCACTATTTGTATACTCACTTATCTACTTCTGGTTTGCCCTGGGTGTTTTCATGTGTCTGTATCTGATCCACAACTATTCTGTAGCCTGTTATTCTCTCAAGATCACTGCAACATGAAAGTGAAAATGTTACACTGCATGAACATCAAAATTAAAATGGCAATAAAAACAAATATTTAAATCAATCATTTCTTCAAGCTATAATGAAAAATTGAATCCCTAGAAAATACCTAATGGATTGTATTACAATCATGATCCTTTAAAATAACTGTACAGTCATTACTCGAGACAAAAGTTATCATATCTTTGGAAGAATCAAATGATTTAATATTGCAACTACACATAACGAAAATTCTGATAATTACAGTCTTGGTAGATGACTTTATGCTAAAATCAATCCTTTTGTATTAAATAAACAATTTATATAACACAAACATTCTTTGTCAGAGACCTATTAGCATCAATTGATGATATGTTCGAGGTTTAGATTACATATACTCATGCTGATCAATACTCTTTAATCCATCTAGACATGAAACTTACTCTCTAAACCGAGAAGAAATGTTTTTAACTTCTTCAACAGAACTCCGGAAAATAACTTTGACCCTTTGATTATCGTTGATCAAGGATATCTGTAAGATCAAAACACAAGACTATAACTCTTTCAACTCCAGAGGTTTGTCAGTTTGAAACAGTCAGTCATTTAGTAATAAGCTGTATTATCAAATAAGTTTCATTGAATGGACAACAAAATTATCAGTTTCTTTGAAAGTCAAATTGTATTATATAATCTTTACATCAAATGTGAAAAAAGTTAATCTTGTATCTGTTTATTCAAACTGCATTAATGCTCTACAGTCAAAATATAACGATGTTGGAAATCTGTTAACATAGTAATGAACAGTGAGGTGCTTTTGATGATACCAATACTGCTCGTGATATATTGTTTATAGACTAATAACACAAGCAAGGTCATCATCATCTTTTCATTTCAACCGACTATTCAAACTATCATGTCTATCATCTATCAAAAAATGAAGTCACTTTAGAACATCACTGCTGATTTTAAATGTTACAAACTCTTACCAAATTATTAACACAGTGCAAAATTATTGATTTACATGAAAGAATTCAAAAACAGAACTTAATGTGGAAATATGAAATGCCTTGATATTTCATCAGTAAAAGTTTGATCTCTCTGGACAGATGCTCTCTTACATAAAATGCTATATTCATGAACCTTAAGTCCATGCCTGATAGCGTTAATAAAGTTCTATATTATGACCATGTATTTGTTAGTCACTTGACTTGTTGAAAGATTAAATACAGTAATTTAGTTGCTTCTTAATATACTGTTCAGCCAAACTTTACCAGCACTATAAAATCTGATATGGTTTTATTGGTCTTTAGAATGTCAAAATAAAAAGAAATACTGACTTAATTGTCATATCCAACCAAACGATTCCTTCTTTATCAGTGTCGAAACAAACCATGAAAAAGCAGTATGAAAAGAATATACAAATTTCTTTCAACACTTACTCTTACACTTTGGATAAAAGAAAACCTGCACAATTTTGTGTGGTGTTTAAAACAAGTGGTTGCTTTAGACAGGCTTAACTTTTAACAATTCTAATTAAGCCCTGGAAATAAAACAGCCTTTCTACTGTCAACTGGTGAAACTACTCTTTTATTTGAAAGATGCAGGCCAGTATCAATATACATATATATACATATCAGACCTAAATTGTGTCCTGGTGAGTGAGTACATGATGGTTTTGTTGTCAAAAGTTAACATTTCCTATGTAACAATGAAGGCCTGGAGATATGATAGTGGTCTTTCCTTTATTATAACTTTTGGCCTTAGATATACAAGTACATGATGTCTTTCGTTCAAATGAATTCTTCATCAAATATGGATTGTACTGACATGCAAAGCTTTCAAGGAGGATTCTTGTTCTGGGTTTCATCTTAATTTGCTTCTTGTAATAAAAACCTACATTCTTCAACAGGTAGCTGCCTATTATACAGTGAAGACCTGAAGATTATTATCAATTAAGAAAGGTAGTAAGTTAAGGTTGCTGATGCAGCTTACCCGTATCAGAGCGTTGCTGGAAAAGAATGGTGCCACTGTATCCATGACTGATACATTCATGAGGTAATATCCAGACAAGTCAGAACGGAAATAAGTACTTGTCTTGATGGTACCGTTGTTGGGAAACAAATAGAATGAGGAATTGATGGATGCTTGCTGTTGGTTGGAACTGCCAGGGTAGGGACTGAAAGTTATACTGTTCATGTGGTATCTGTGAACTCGGTTTTTACCTATATCTTCATCTACCACATCATTCTGGAAAAATTGAAACATTTCATTATCAAAACACAATATCATTAGAAACAGTACACATGTTTATTGCTTGTATATGATACAAAAATCCATTATGTACAGTAAACAAATCATCACACATATCAGGGGATATTCAAGCAATAACCATTCCTACCCTGTGATACCTGTATAATTTTCATTTGAAAAATAGATGAATGGAGAGGTTCTGATATCAAAGAAGCTAGGAAATAACTCTGGATTTTCACATTAAATGTGTTATAATTACACCTTCTATGTGGAAACTGCTGGTATTATTGGAATCCCGTCAAAAGTTGTTGGTTATCATGGTAAATTTTGGATCTCTATTCCAAATTTGTAATAATCAAAACTACATCCAGAAACATGAATGGATTAAGCATCGGTTAATAAAATTAATTCCTGTAAGCTTTGAAACACTTACATGTAGTTTGTAGATAATTTCTGCAAGCTGTGTTTTACGACTGACACCAATGCTGAGTACAGGTTCTTTAAACCTGGGTGCATGGTCGTTGATATCCCCAATATTAACCTGTACCCAGAGTAAAGTGGTGTTCCTAGGGTCATACTCTAGAGGTGCCAAACGCAAATCTGTTGACCTTTTTCTTCTGGAGATAACACCTGTATCTAGATAACACAGTGGTGTTGCCCAGACAACCAAATCTACAGTGTCAATAGGTTGGCCATTGATTCCCCCTTCTCTGTCAATGACCTTTTTTATGAAGAGGCCTCCCGTCACATTGAGGTGAAAATAATCCATCATGGTGCCTCCTACAAGACCATCATGGCCAAATATACAGGTAATTGACAAAATACCAAAGAAAAATAGAGCGGAATATTATTTACAATTTCAGCTAACTTCTGGCATAATAATCAAATTATGTGTCAGGTTTGTCAAACATAATACGGTTTTGACAAATTAAATTTCACAAGTATATTTTCTAAAAATCACTCTCAGTTTAAAAAAAAAAAAAAAAAACCAAAGTGCAACTCCCAAAGGATCTATCAATTATCTAAAGTGTTTAAGGAAATGATTGTTCTTTGAATTTAATTGACAGTCTGTACATTGTAAGTGTGAGACTAATTGATGAAGGAAAGTGTCAGAAAAGTAAATTTTCACCAAATTCTCATAACTTCCCTAAAAGAAAATTAAATATTTACTTAATATGTTTGCTTCCTCTTTTAGGGAATTTGAAATTTTCAAACTTATTGGCAATTAAACAAGAGCTGACAAAAATGAAAAACAAAACATTGTTTTGTGATCTATCATAGTAACATTATTGCACTTTCAAATTTCTAACAACAAAGCTGGAAATAGTGTGGCTGCATGTGCTGTAGTCTTTCTTGTATTGTATGAAAGGGATCACAGATATGGAGTTTCCAGACTTATTTAATTGTATCACCTGCAAGGTATTAAGCCTTTTGTCTTAACATTCCAAGGGTTTAAAGAAGTCAGTATGTATGTCAAAAGTAGAAACTATTGAACAGTAAAGGTGCAAATCATCATCTGAAATCACATGCAGGGCATCCATGGTATAAAATGTGTGGATGGTAAACCTTTATATCCCAATAAGCTTAATTTGGAAAAGAAATGTTTTTTGTCCATTAAAACTTTTGAAAATTTTGGCAACTTAAACAGATTGGTAAAAAATCCATTTAACCAAAAGGAAAACATTTAACTGAAAAGGAAATATTTCTTTTGAGATCAGTAATAAAACTAAATATCGCAAACGTTTTTCAATAGATTAGCAATAAAGTATCTGTCAGTGACAATACTTTTCAATACCATAAATCTAAAGATCTTACCAACAATGTGATAACATGTTTTGGTGAAGTTCACATCTGTATCTGCATCTGTGGAAACATTAACATAACCAACAAAAGCCACAGACTGTTCCTCAAGAACGGGTCCAAGGACAAAAGGCTCCATGCTAGGTATCCTCTCAAACACAGGGTCTTGATCATTGACATCTAGTAACTGTATAATCAGGTTTGTTGACCTGATGTAGCTTTTAGGGTAACCGTTATCAAAGGCATTGATCTTGATCTGGAAAGTAAATGATTGGGTTGGTCATTTTCATTGGTACTTTTCTGGCTATGAATTAGAGGACTAAAATAAATCATTGGGTCGGTCATTTTCATTGGTGCTTTTCTTGCTATGAATTAGAGGACTAAAATAAATTATTGGGTCAGTCATTTTCATTGGTACTTTTCTGGCTATGAATTAGCAGACTAAAATCTGGGATTCATTTGTTTAAGAGTGATGTAAAATAGAAATTAATTATAACCTTTAACCTTTTTGCATGTCAAAAATCATTAATACAAACTTCAACTGCATATCTACTACAAAGTTCCAGGGGCCTCAAAACACATATATAGAGTTGTCCACTGTCAAAGTTGTATCTGATGGTTTAAATTTTTGTAGTTTTACCAATGTTTTGGCCCAACTGATGCTTTTTTCCCAAAGGCCAATGTTTTCTTTATTACCATATTCAACCTAATAACTACATCTGATTCCTTTAAATACTTTTACATTGTGTTTGTTGTATTAAATACTGTAGTTATTTAAATTCTATAATTGTCTATCATTGAAACCTACAAATAATGTGACCACTTGATACTTAGAGTGTGTTTAAGCCCACACATATACACATTGATGTATCTGCCCCCATTGCTACTTAACCTGGTGAATGGTTGATGGAATGCCACAATCAGTGATGACTCCATAGTGTGAGTACAGAATTGAAGTAACTGATTCCTAAGAAGTAAATTACATCAGTAAAGTCAAATGTTTGAAAAAGACTAGTTTTGCCTATTTAAATACCTGGTATTTTCCTTGATGTGTAGGATCTTCTCGGTCTAGTGTACCGTTGATGGTCAGTTGGCCCGAATCCTCATCAAGCTTGAAGTAGATATAGTCCTTAACATGTGAAATGTTGTAACGGACCCTTCCATTCTCACCATGGTCATTATCAATGGCCTTGACAAACATTACATGAGCACCCTCTTGTTCCTGTTTTCAAAGAAATGTGATTATTAGTGAGCGTTGGACCACAAGAATGAAATCAAAGGATTATCATATTTTGAGTGTGTGAAAATAAATTAAGGAATTTCATAATGGCAAAAAATGTTTGTGAAAATGAGGAAAGATATACTGACCTCCTTAACAAAGACCACCTCGCTGTCTCTTGCTGGCTTGACAAAGGTTGGCTGGTCACGATTAACATCTTTCACTGTAATCATGAGTTGTTTCTCAGAGAACTGTGCTGGAATTCCAAGATCAGATGCTCGCACTGTGACATAGAACTCTCCAACTCTGTCTAGTATGCTCTCCCGAAGTGTCATAACACCCTCATTCTGTCCCGTCGCTGTGTTCAACACTGTACTCATAGCAAACCATGCAAAACCACCTGTAACACAGAATCAGGTATCATTAGTACCTTATATCACTTGTAAAATCATGATTTGCTCTGACTTACTGAGAGTTGTTTTGGCTCTGTTTGACCTGTTAGATATATTTGACATGTATAAAAGTAATTTTGGTAAATTTGGCCGTAAAAGTAAATTGTTAGCTAAACAAGTGTTGTTCCAACTACTTTTTAATGATGACCAACAAGTTCTACAATACCTTCCATTTGACAAATCTAGATATATTTGGTACGTGTGTGAATATCTATGTGTAAATTTGACATCTGTGAGAAGATCTATGTGTAAATATGACATCTGAGTGAATATCTATGTGTAAATTTGACATCTGTGTGAATATCTATGTGTAAATATGACATCTGTGAGAAGATCTATGTGTAAATATGACATCTGTGAGAATATCTATGTGTAGATATGACATCTGTGAGAAGATCTATGTGTAAATATGACATCTGTGAGAAGATCTATGTGTAAATATGACATCTGTGTGAATATCTATGTGTAAATATGACATCTGTGAGAAGATCTATGTGTAAATTTGACATCTGTGTGAATATCTATGTGTAAATATGACATCTGTGAGAATATCTATGTGTAAATATGACATCTGTGAGAAGATCTATGTGTAAATTTGACATCTGTGTGAATATCTATGTGTAAATATGACATCTGTGAGAAGATCTATGTGTAGATATGACATCTGTGAGAAGATCTATGTGTAAATATGACATCTGTGTGAATATCTATGTGTAAATATGACATCTGTGAGAAGATCTATGTGTAAATATGACATCTGTGAGAAGATCTATGTGTAGATATGACATCTGTGAGAAGATCTATGTGTAAATATGACATCTGTGTGAATATCTATGTGTAAATTTGACATCTGTGTGAATATCTATGTGTAAATATGACATCTGTGAGAAGATCTATGTGTAAATATGACATCTGTGTGAATATCTATGTGTAAATATGACATCTGTGAGAAGATCTATGTGTAAATGTGACATCTGTGTGAATATCTATGTGTAAATGTGACATCTGTGTGAATATCTATGTGTAAATTTGACATCTGAGTGAATATCTATGTGTAAATATGACATCTGTGTGAATATCTATGTGTAAATGTGACATCTGTGTGAATATCTATGTGTAAATTTGACATCTGTGTGAATATCTATGTGTAAATATGACATCTGTGAGAAGATCTATGTGTAAATATGACATCTGTGTAAATATCTATGTGTAAATATGACATCTGTAAGAAGATCTACCTGTGGTATTACTATCTGCTGTCAGAGAGAAGGCGACGGTGCCATTGATTCCCTGGTCTGGGTCCTGTGCCTGAATGCGACACACTTCAGTACCGTTACGCTCGTCTTCCTTGAGGGACTTTAGGATACCCTGAGTACTAGTGATATCAGGATTATTATCATTGATGTCTAGGATTTCAATATGTATGATTCCTGTGGAATTTGACAACTGGTTGTCTGGGTCAAGCCTGTTGGTAGCAGTCACTTCAATGCTATATCCTGAAGGTCGATGCTCTCTGTCTAAGCTACCTTCTACTGATATTTCACCCTGAAACCACCAAAGAAGTACTTGTCTTAGAAAATCACAAGCAAAAAATCTACCGGTCACCATTACAACCAGGATCTTTTCTTTAATGTAAGAAAACCTTACAATGTCAGAGTATTTAGCCCTAATAAGATGATGCCTTTTGTTCATAGGTTAGATGTAATAAATCAGAAAATTAACTTTTATATAGAGAAGTTATCAATAGTACTCAATTTTAGGAGACTTTTTGGTTTGGAAGATCAATTTGACTTACTGTAACTTCATTGATAGCAAAGTTATGATCATCTGGAGAAACCTTCAGTGCATAAAACACCTGCCCGAAGATTCCAGTGTCGACATCATATGCATTGATTGTGGCGATGACAGTGTTGTTGCTGGCATCCTCTGGTACGCGCAGGATGTTGAAATGAGGATAAAATACTGGTGGATTGTCATTGATGTCCACGACTGTGACTACGACGTTTGCTGTCGACGAAAGCCGAGTAGGAGATCCATTGTCCACGACTATCACTTTGAACTCTACAGTGGGTGCTTTCTCTCTGTCTAGTTTCTTTTTCAACAATATTTGACCTGCATTATTGACAGATAAAACCATCTTAGGTTATATTCATACAGACTTTTAAAAGAAAAATAATTTCCTAAATTTTGTATTATTTGAGTAAGATTAATTCTAATTTAACACCATTTTCTGCAGGTGCATCATAATCAAGTACAATGTTTTGATTAACAATGGATTTGGTTTCTTTTTCTGATATCAAAATCTTTTTGTATTTATTGATTATTTGAACACTAATGAAAGCTTTCTGTCTTGGTTGGTTCAATACAAACTGTAACATTAATTGTAACTCTGAAGTTTTTATGCCAAATAAGAGGTACTGTTTTGAGATATTTCACATAGCGACCGAGACACAAAACAACATATTGCATTTCAGACTTTTGGTTCAATCACCTAATAATCTATGCAATCACTTTAGATCTTTGGAACTAACCTGCAGTTGGATCCATTATTTTGAAAGAACTAGATATATCTTCCCCAATGAAATACTGAAGCTGCTGATTCTCATCTGCGTCTGTAGCTATCACCATGGTAACAAAATCGTTTATGTCCCTGCCTTCCGATATATTCACCTTGTACATGGAACTTGGAACAAATTTTGGGTAATTGTCATTGACATCTATCAAATCGATTGTCAATGTAGCTGTCAAAAGATAATGTAGAAAGTTCATAATTGAGTAAGCAACATTTTCAAAAAGTACTTTTGAAGAATTTGTTTAAGATGACCTCATCAAGGATAATTACTGAACAGATCCTATTTATACACTCTCTAATGGCAACAAACAATGTCAAAAATTTGTAACTGTTCAGCATAAAGTTGTCAAAGCTATCAACTAGCAGTTCAAAGTACATTCAAATCCAGAAATAACTGAATCTCCTAACTTATAGTCAGGTGGTGGGCTTATCATAGAGGAGTACAACAAAAGGGTGTTAATTGGTATGTTAATTCAACAGCATGGAAGTGGGTTGTTGTATTACTAGACATGGGGTTATTAACAGATAAATATGGTACTTAGAGTCAGACAACTCTAACAATTCTTTATGATTGTAAAGCTTCTTCCTTAGTACTAGGTTACCCAATTTTGATCAAGGTGTAAATAACATGTGGAGTAAGGTTTACCTACCTGTGGCGTTCTGTATAGATGGGTGCCACGCATTGACATCCTCAACAAGAATCTCTAGCACAACCCGCTCCGCAGTCTCACGATCCAGTGGTGATTTCACTACTACATCACCTGTATCTGGTAATACCGTAAAATAGTTCTGAAATATAAAAATAAATGATAACAATGTAAGCTAACTTCACCTGGTATTTCTTTTTTCACAGATGTCAATTTGAATTCAGGACAGGGATACTGTTGGATCTAAATTTAATTGTGAACAATTCACCTTCATTTGTACTGTTTACATTATATTGTCAACAACTTTTATAAAAATATTTGAAGAAATATAGTCAATTAATGCAAAGTCTTAATTAGTATTTTACTTCAGGTGTCATGATGTCAGCAATGCTTTATATGCAAAGAAAAAGAAATAATAAATTCAATTTTGATTCTTCTTTCTATTTTTGTTTGTTTTTTTTTTGTTAACTGAACCTGAAATGAATGGTTTATTTTTGTATTTGACCATTTGTATACATTAAATATTCACTCGGCCTGTACTTTTGGGATACTTTGAATTGATTTGCTGTATTTGTCCTACCCAAAACGTAAGTTTATCAAGACTGACAAATAATGTGGGTCCATTTTAGGGACAATAATGAAATCAAAATTGTATCTTCAACAAGAAAACATGAAAGCTTTATCTTTTTTTATATTAATCTAGCAACTGCTAATTTAAAATCCAACTGTATCTGTAAATTCTAATGAAAATATCATCAATAAGCTATATCATTGTGCTATACGAACTTTCTGTGCTTGAGTCAGAAATGATCTATTTGTCTCCTAGGCTTAATACCAGATAAATGTTATGCTATCTATACCCCTCAATTTTTTTCCAAATGACTGAAATAGAAGATTTCATTTGGTATTGTGATTTATCTTAACCTCAATATTGACTATTATACAGATAGTTCCCTCCTTTTTAATTTTCAATTTTTTATCAATTTTATAACTTACATTGTTAACAAACTTTTTTCAATACATGAAATTAAAGATCCAAGTTAAATTCCCAGTATGATCCAAATAAGTGAAATTCCGTAGATTTTTTTGAGAATTTAGAAGTAAGAGCTATAATTTACTAGCATAAATGATGTTACCGTGACGACAATCTGTTGATTGGCTGATCAAACTCAGGATAGTCACATATATGATGCTACCGTGACGACAATCTGTTGATTGGCTGATCAAACTCAGGATAGTCACATATATGATGCTACCGTGATGACAATCTGTTGATTGGCTGATCAAACTCAGGATAGTCACATATATGATGCTACCGTGACGACAATCTGTTGATTGGCTGATCAAACTCAGGATAGTCACAGATTCAAAGTTCATTCTAAGAAGATGCCCATGTTTAATCGAGAACCAAGGGAATTAATGAATATGTATTTCCACTAACAAATAGTGTGAATCCAATAGGAAGCCTTCCTTTCTGATGATGTGTAAGTAATGTTTACATACACATGTGTCTATGTCAGTACACTGTTTGTTTTTGAGATTTTGAAGAAAAGGTGATGGTTAGGGCCTGTATCTCTACAAACACTTCCACTAAAGCAAGCTTTCTTGTCACTCATTGAAATCCTGTAGAAGTGTTCTTAGTAAAATAGTATTTGGATTCAAGTTCTCTAAATCATATCAGAAAATGCTGACATTTAAACCCAAAAAAGGAAAATGGGTTTCAAGATCTTTATAAGTTTTATATTTTCATGATTTGTTGGTAAGTTTGTCTTTGATACCATGGTAATGTATTAATCCTGTGACAAGCCCAAGGGACAAGCAAGCCCATAGCACTTTTACCCAATTTAGGGAGGAAAAGTTATTACATGGTACAACAGTTCTTGGCATTTCTATTCAAACTCTTGTGCTTTGGATGTATTTATATGCTTACTACTAGGTATGCATGGTCTTGTTGTCAGATATTTGTGCTCCATTTTGGTAATGACAAGGCTACAAATACCTCATTTTTTCTCTGGGTCTCATCAAAATTCACTTTATTTATTTCACAAAAAATTGCCTGTATGGTCTAATGTGATAATCAATGATTACAAAGAATTTCCTTTCTGTCCATTTCATTTCTTACCTGTATGTTATTGGCATGAATATCCACTGTCTGACTGTTCTCATCCACAGCACGGACAGATCCAGGTATCACACTATACCGTAGCTTGTGATTAACATCAGCATCACTCGCAGCATATCGGGTAACAACTTCATTTAATCCACTGTCTTCAAGTACACTCACAGATTTTGTTAATGGAGAAAATACAGGCAGCTCATCGTTAATATCTATAATAGTGACCTTGACCTCACATTTCTCCACCAATGATTTTATGCCCCGGTCAGTGGCAGAAATAATCAATGTATAATTTGCAAGAGTTTCGCGGTCAAGTTTTGCTCCCTTTTCTACTGTAATGTTACCCGTTTGGAAGTCAATACGAAACTTATCCTGTGCACCACTATCGATACGATAAAGGAACTGGTGGTTGAGGTCTGTACCATCAGCATCCGTTGCATGTACCTGTATCACCATGGTGCCTTCTGTTGCATTCTCCATCACATCAGCAGTATATATACTCTGAGCAAAGATCGGGGCATTGTCATTCTCATCCTAAACAAAAATAATATAAACATCATCAGAATCTTTTTCCCTAAAAATACCATTCAACTTGCTTGAAAATTAAACATTTGAAGTCTTGTAACTGATAAGAATTTGAACCCTTGAACTCTGACCCCATATTTACCTCAACTTCTATGGTAACAGGGATGGCTCTTTGTTTCTGAGGAACTCCCAAATCGTATGCTTCTATCTTAAGGAGCACTTTGCCCTTCAAGTCTGGGTCAAGTTTTTCATAGTCCAGTGGAGAAGTGACTGCTACCTCTCCAGATGTGCTGTTGATGGTGAAGTTATTGTTTAGTCCTGAAGGGATGTCCACTATCCTATATCTAACCTCACTGTTGTTGGTACCTGGCTGGTCATCATCAAATGCCTTGAAAAAGTATCCAATGAAAATGAAGGAATTGAAAAAAAGTGTCAAATCAAAATCAATGGAAATTCTGTTCAAGTTTTCAGTAGAGAGAAGTTTAAAACATAAGGGGCCAATATAGCAATAAGTCAACTCCAAGGTTGGGCTTATTTCTGGACAAAGCATAAGGTATGTATGGGTTGGCTTGTTGTCTGATGAATATGATAAAATGTCCTTTCACCATCTCCTCAACCATAAATCAATGGAACCATAATATATGTGTTGGGAGTCAATCTATGATTCTTAACCCGTTAAAATTAGTGACTTCGACTTTGCATCCTGAGACACAAACCTATCCAAAATGTTCTCATAATTAGATCTTTTCAAAACATTGAAAAAATGAGACAAATAAACTTAATAAAGATAGAACTGAAATATGGAAACCTGAATACAGAATACGACAGTGAATGAGGGCCGACATGAAATAAACTTCCCTGTCACACCATCTTTACTTTACACGAAATTACAGCGAGGACATGAAACTAGGACACTGTCCTAATTTGGAATGACATTTATAAACGTATATGATTTAATAAGTTATCAGAATTCATATATCATCGTTATTAATTGATATACAACAAAGTAAACCTAATTAATGATTCACAATCATGTTTATCAATTGTATCTATACTGTTTATCATTTTGAACAGATCAATATGTATGTTATGGCCAGGTTGGATTGTGATCGTATCTGCATTGGATGTAATGCTTCACAGATGTTAGAGACAGCCTCCTAAACCCTGAGGCTTAGTAGCCTCAACTCAGTCTGATGATAGAATCCAACCGTCTTGCTGGCACCAGATGTCAAAATGATGTTGAAAATTGCAAATAACTTTTGTTTATCTGTCATAATTGTATGAGAGTTACTGCAGACAAATGTGCTAAACAGTGTGATTACTACAGCCATGCGTCACTCACTTCAACAAAAAGTGGACCTCGTATGAAGTGCAGATTATTTTCCTTGACACTGCTGAAGTACTCGTCACGACGAAATGTTGGAATCATGTCATTTTTATCTGTGATGTTGACCCTTAGTTCGGCTGTAGATCTGAAACCACCGCCATCTTTGGCCTCTACTGTAAGGTAGTATTCCTCTACTGTTTCCCGGTCAAGAAGACCATCCACTGTAACCACTCCTGTCTGCTCATTGATGTCAAATCTGTACAGCAGAATTAACACAGGTACAACTGATTAACTCACCCAACAGTTAATATAATAGATGTGTTATACCAATTGTGTTTGATGGTTTGGAAAGAAGATTATTCTGAAAACATGACAATATTAACAGGAAAAGAAAATCAAAGATCTGACTCAAATGTATATTGAAACAAAGGAAAATGAAACAAAGGGAGATTTACATAAAGACTTTAATAAAACATGACCTTCAATAATAATTAACAACTGTATTCTATCAGGGTAAATGAGCTCTGATGACACCATCCCACAAATGTATTTACTTACAATATTTTTTCAAACATAAACGTAGTATTTACACTTTAAGGAGCCCAGGGGACAACACACCAAAGCAAGAATATAGGTGTATTATAGGGCAATAATGCATTTGTTGTCATTTGTAACTAATCTTGTCACCAGGACAGGGATTATTGTTGGATGAATGAAGTACCTTATGCAATAAAAATTGAACCAGAGGTCAAGGTTCCAGAGCTACCTACCTTCCGTTGCCGCCCCTCAATGAGTATGTGACTAGTCCGAAAATTCCAGAATCATCGTCACTTGCCTGTAAAATCAATGATGTTTCAATCTCAAAGATGTTAGTCTCAATGTATATCAAATTTTTGAATCTGTTACAAAATTACAAATTAAATATTATGTGAAACTGCAATTAAATAAGAATACATGCCATTGCAAAGATTACATTTAATGACTATATATTTGTAAATTACATCTGCGGTATTTAGCAAACGGTAGCATTTATCAGCCCCAAGGTAACATACATCCTTAACTCTCTAAAATCTTATATTCACTTAAAGGTAGTATACACCCTTAACTCTCAAAAATCTTATATTTATTCCAAGGTAGCATATACCCTTAACTCTCTAAGATCTGATATTTACTCCAAGGAAGCATACACCCTTAACTCTCCAAAATCTGATATTTACTCCAAGGAAGCATACACCCTTAACTCTCCAAAATCTAATATTTACTCCAAGGAAGCATACACCCTTAACTCTCCAAATTCTGATATTTACTCCAAGGAAGCATACACCCTTAACTCTCCAAAATCATACACCCTTAACTCTCCAAAATCTGATATTTACTCCAAGGAAGCATACACCCTTAACTCTCCAAAATCTAATATTTACTCCAAGGAAGCATACACCCTTAACTCTCCAAAATCTGATATTTACTCCAAGGAAGCATACACCCTTAACTCTCCAAAATCTGATATTTACTCCAAGGAAGCATACACCCTTAACTCTCCAAAATCTGATATTTACTCCAAGGAAGCATAAACTCTTAACTCTCTAAAATATGAAATTTACATAAAGTAGCATACATCAGTAAAGTTTTTAGTCAGATATTTACCGTAATTTTCATGACTGTGAAGCCAAGTTGGATGTTTTCTTGGACACTAGCTGAATACACACTCTGATCAAATACTGGTGGATTATCATTCATGTCCTCAATGTGAACAGTGATGTCTGCAGTGCTACTCCTCCTCTCAGATGTGTCAACCTCCATGGCAATGATCTATAATTCAAGGGTCAGAGCTCAATTTAAAGCAAAAAAGAAAGAAAAAAGAAAAAGAAATGACTGAATTCAAGAATTGATTTTCATTTCTTATTATATCTTTTTCAGTCTTCAATACTTTATGGACAGAATTTAGACCTTGAAAAGCCTGTATATCAAAATCAGCAGAGTTACCTGAAAGTTGACTGAGGTCATCTTCTCATAGTCAAGGTTACTACTATTATTGACACGAATCAGTATGGTGGATTCTGAGAAAACTTCACTAGGAAGTGGAGCAAAATCATGGTAAGGCTGCCCATCCTTTTGCAGTGACAAAACAAAATAGCTGTTTTTACCCTGTTAATAAGATATGTTAAAATATTAGAAAATAAGTTAGAATTTCAAAAAAAATAAAAATGAAATAATAATAAATAAATATTCATAATACACTTACATTTAGAGAATTGCACATGTATCTTCACACAGACTAATCAAAGATCAGAAGTTATTCAAATGCTGTTATTTCTCATATCATTAATTTCATTCAAAATTTTCATAAAGGAGTCTGGAAATTTTTTCTTAAAACAATTACCGCGCGCGGTAAGTTATATATTTTGACAACATTTAGAATAGACTTTAGATCTATTTCTTTCAAAAGGGAAAAAAATCCTGAATTTCAAAATTTACAATCTACTATGGGAATCCCATGGCCTCATTATTATTAGGTCTTACAGTTTCTTAGTAAGACCTACCTGGTCCTTGTCACTGACTGACATAAATTTGGTTGACCCTATAAAGGAAACTGGAACGCCATCCTGCATGTTTTCTAATATTGTGGCATCATACGATGTTTCAGTGAATGTTGGAGGGTTATCGTTCACATCCCTGACAGTAATTGTGACCAGCGTTGTGGCATTGATACTGCCAACGTTGAAATCTCCTGGATTTACAATCTCTGTTGCCTGGAAACAAAATTTCTCTATATAAATAAGTATGGTATGCTATAAAAAAGAAACAATAAACTGCCTTCATTCATTTTATAATTTCAAATTTTACATTAAAAAATTACTGATATAATTACAATGTATGTAATATTCAAATGTCATAATATAAACAAAGTTTACAAAACATTTAGATTTCTGATGAAATACACTTGGGAGAGAAGACTAAACAAAGTTTACAAAACATTTAGATTTCTGATGATAAACACTTGGGAGAGAAGACTAAACAAAGTTTACAAAACATTTAGTTTCTGATGATAAACACTTGGGAGAACATTTACAAAACATTTAGATTTCTGATGATAAACACTTGGGAGAGAAGACTAAACACAGTTTACAAAACATTTAGATTTCTGATGATAAACACTTGGGAGAGAAGACTAAACACAGTTTACAAAACATTTAGATTTCTGATGATAAACACTTGGGAGAGAAAACTAAACAAAGTTTACAAAACATTTAGATTTCTGATGATAAACACTTGGGACAGTGTTTACAAAACATTTAGATTTCTGATGATAAACACTTGGGAGAGAAAACTAAACAAAGTTTACAAAACATTTAGATTTCTGATGATAAACACTTGGGAGAGAAGACTAAACAAAGTTTACAAAACATTTAGATTTCTGATGATAAACACTTGGGAGAGAAGACTAAACACAGTTTACAAAACATTTAGATTTCTGATGATAAACACTTGGGAGAGAAGACTAAACACAGTTTACAAAACATTTAGATTTCTGATGATAAACACTTGGAAGAGAAGACTAAACAAAGGGCCTGTTTCCAGTAATGTTAATTCTCCATAGGAGCCTGCCCCTGTATAATTTCTTATCTAGCTCAACTACTGGTTTTTTCTTTTCCGAAAAATAATTTTACACCTTTCCGACACCCAGATTTCATAATTTCAGTGAAAATGTATTTTTATAAAGTTGTCAATTTCAGCATCAAAGACATAAGTTTGTAAATAAAAGAAGGTTATCTTGAAATTGTAATTCACAACATAGTATAAATTTCTTTTGATAAATATTTCCAAAACATCGTGTTTATTCATAAAACATAAAAAAAAATATTCTCGGATGAAAATGCACTTGCAGAGACACAATTATGAAGAAAAATGCCATAAATTTGTAATTTTCTCCCGTTATATAGTTTTGGATGCAAATTTCCATCAGAAAATCGGTTAGAGCTTTACTTGTTTCATATGTGTACCAAAAATCAGCTAATTCCATGTGGTGGAACGTTCTCATATCGCCGCCTGAATGTGGTTGTAAATTGAAAGAAAAGGGGAAATGAGTAACAACCTTGTCTGAAACCCAATTATATAGCTTATTATATACAAACTTTTATATTGAATATCAGAGCGGATATTTTCATGACAGTTTTATGATGTGTAAAAAAAAAAATAAATAAATAAAGTACTGTTTCCCCGTCTCGAGTACAGCACTCCTCCTGGTTACATCGCCGAACATTTAAGTGATGACGGCGACTATGAGGTGTGGCTTTACCAGCACTCCCCAGACCTTCTCCGATGTCAAATACATTCTCGACACAAAAGCCAAACGAAATATAACGTTTGGATACGGTTCACCGTTTCACCCGATGTTGAGGCCCCAATAAAGGACTACTACTGCCAGTGCCCAGTTGGAGAGAGAACGATGGGAATGTGTGCACACATCTCCAGTATCTTGTACTACCTTGGGTATTACAGGACGCTGGAAAACCCTCAACCATTACAACCACAGGTAAAGAAATTCCGACAAAACATGAAATAGTTTTCCATGCGGCAACAACGTGCATATATCAAAAGTATGTGTGGGGCTCGATATGAAAGATCCCCGTTACCATGTGACTAACCAAACTTATAAATATAGGTATTATACAATCGCCCGTAGCTATGAACACTCCCGTTAATGCGAAAACCAACCAAAATCATAAGGAACACGTTTTGTTTGTTGTTCTGTCTATTTGTCAGCCAATGTCTTCAACCACGGGGACTTGCGAAGTAGCCATCTTGGATTTTTTTATGAAAAAGTGTTTCTCTCACTTTTTTTCATATCTGTGTACATATTCTCAACATATCGAGCAAATACTCTCGTTTTTTTGTTAATTATTTAAAGAAAGTCGAAAATCGGCAATTCAACCATAGGCTAATTCAACCCAACATTTGAAAATGTTCCACCACTTACATTTTGATGATTTTTCCTCTCATCAATAGCATATTACGTACTATTTAATAGGATAAAAATTGGTTTGCATCCAACGCCCATAAAAGGGTGTATTCTCTAAAAAACACAGTTTTTGTGTCTAAAATGTTATCATCGAAAATGGCATTTTTGAGATTGTTTCTTCCATAAAACAGCCAAATGGCGCGATGGAAACATGATTTTTTGTCACAATCATGCCATGAATGTATTCTTTACGGTGACTATCATTTGATTAGATTTTCATTAATATTTTACATAACACGCACATTTTATCAACACTTAGACAGCTTCTGAAAGGTACAACTTTGAGGAGCCATAAAAAACAAACCAATTGACCTAAATCTTTATACTTTATAGATTTGTGACCACAACGGCATGGTCAATGCACCACCAACAGGAAATTTGAATCAGAGGAGGGGCCATTTTGGAAACCGGCCCTTTACAAAACATTTAGATTTCTGATGATAAACACTTGGGAGAGAAGACTAAACATAGTTTCCAAAAACATTTAGATTTCTGATGATAAACACTTGGGAGAGAAGACATTTACAAAACATTTAGATTTCTGATGATAAACACTTGGGAGAGAAGACTAAACAAAGTTTACAAAACATTTAGATTTCTGATGATAAACACTTGGGAGAGAAGACTAAACACAGTTTACAAAACATTTAGATTTCTGATGATAAACACTTGGGAGAGAAGACTAAACAAAGTTTACAAAACATTTAGATTTCTGATGATAAACACTTGGGACAGAAGACTAAACAAAGTTTACAAAACATTTAGATTTCTGATGATAAACACTTGGGAGAGAAGACTAAACACAGTTTACAAAACATTTAGATTTCTGATGATAAACACTTGGGAGAGAAGACTAAACACAGTTTACAAAACATTTAGATTTCTGATGATAAACACTTGGGAGAGAAGACTAAACACAGTTTACAAAACATTTAGATTTCTGATGATAAACACTTGGGACAGAAGACTAAACACAGTTTACAAAACATTTAGATTTCTGATGATAAACACTTGGGAGAGAAGACTAAACAAAGTTTACAAAACATTTAGATTTCTGATGATAAACACTTGGGACAGAAGACTAAACACAGTTTACAAAACATTTAGATTTCTGATGATAAACACTTGGGAGAGAAGACTAAACAAAGTTTACAAAACATTTAGATTTCTGATGATAAACACTTGGGAGAGAAGACTAAACAAAGTTTACAAAACATTTAGATTTCTGATGATAAACACTTGGGAGAGAAGACTAAACAAAGTTTACAAAACATTTAGATTTCTGATGATAAACACTTGGGACAGAAGACTAAACACAGTTTACAAAACATTTAGATTTCTGATGATAAACACTTGGGACAGAAGACTAAACAAAGTTTACAAAACATTTAGATTTCTGATGATAAACACTTGGGAGAGAAGACTAAACAAAGTTTACAAAACATTTAGATTTCTGATGATAAACACTTGGGAGAGAAGACTAAACATAGTTTACAAAACATTTAGATTTCTGATGATAAACACTTGGGAGAGAAGACTAAAAAAAGTTTACAAAACATTTAGATTTCTGATGATAAACACTTGGGAGAGCTATCACAGACTTTTCTATTGAAAGACCTTCGGCAGGTTTGCAATAATGCCAAGGGGGCATATCATTCTATCACATGACTAAATGTCAAATCTGTTTTCAATCACTTAAATCATTCTGTCCTTGAACAATGTATCCAAATACTTACCTCTACAGAAAAAGCGTACACACCCCCTCGTTGTTGAATTATAGGATTGTCACGGTCCAGTTCATTTTTTACTGTTATCCAGCCTGTGGTACTATTTAGAGCAAAATTCTGATAGTCTCCTGTAATGTAAAGATGCTTTCCGAAATGAAATGGAACAGCAATGGATATCTTTCTATTTGGAAATAAAAGACAAAGACTCTGTAAAGCTGTAGTCAAAAAGCCACTTATTGAGAATTCAGTTTAAAATTTTTCTCCTTCATATCTGACATTTTGGGACCTGTACAAATTGATATATATTCAGTTTTGTTTGGATTGAACTTGATGGACAGAGCCACTAAACACTGCTATTCATCATAAGGTTGACAGATATATGGATCCTCATACTATTCAAAATCTACAAAAACTATGGTTATGCACAGAAATATCTAATTTGATATTGGAATGCAACTTCACTATTCACAAAGTGCCTTTTTACCATATATGTTTGGCAATGCCAGTTGACATAGTAAAGGGGCTTATTATGATCCTCTTAAAGTCTACCAAGACAGAGGGATGGATTGAATATGGGCACTTTTAAAACACACAAGTGACCATGCATATACATAGAACAGGTGGAGGGGGGAAGTTGATAGAAAGAGGAAGCTAATAAGTGGTACTTGATAACCCACAAAGGAGTTCAGTATGTAGATACATCTGTCACAAATTCTAGTGAAATTAGATAAGCTGAAATGTTAACCTTTCCAGGCACCACCTGGGTGCCATTTATTTTGATCTATCTAATGCTGTACCAAATTTAATAGACAAAATCAACTGGATTTTATGTTTTTATATATTGACAAACATGATAATGCAGGCACACATGTGATGAAAACAAAGCCTGCATACATCCTTTCCATAGTGAGATCAACAGAAGGAAAGGGTGATGGAATTCTCAGAATTTTTATTTGTTCAGACGATTTCTTCTTAAAATACTACAGATTAACTGAATCCTTATTCAGTAAAAAATATTCAATTACTTATGGAACCTGGAACCTTGAACACAGGATTCCAAAATGGAGACATTTTGAGGACAAATATCAGAGTCAACATATCCAACACATAATTTAGTTCAGAGATAATTAAAAAGAAAGCTTTGAGGAGTATATTACTTGATGCAATTGTATTTCCCATTAATAGAGTTAGATCAGACTACTAGTTAAGCTAAATGAGTATGTTCTTAAGAAATGAACTAAAGTAGTCCTCCCAATGTGGACCTTGAATCTAAATATAAAAAATACATAGATATAATATCAAATAGAATTGTACTTACCATCGAGAAAACTGTATCTTAAATTATTTCTAATACGCTCATCACGATCCCCATCAAGAGCAGTTACCTGCAAAACCTGCTCTCCCTGAAAAGATAAAAAAACAAAAACAAATCAGGATCTAGGATCTATAGCATATTGAGGTTTTTCAAGTAAAACCAATTTTCATTATGTAACAGTTACCATAACTTTAGTATACAAATACAGTACCTGCAGCCATCTTTAACAATAACAATGCAATCTGAACAAAAACAAGTTTCTGAGACTATCTGATTGGCTGAAAAGCAAGGAAATGACTCATTTGAAACACATCAGCCATCAGTGAGGCCAGAAAGGCAAGAGGAAGGGAGATCACTCTATATCTCTGTCATATTGGCTCATTAGACTGTAGGGAGGGCTGGATCTTTTAATGTTTTGTTTTTGGGATACAAAGATCAGTACAGGTATTGTATTTGCATACTAAAGTTATGGTCAATATTATTGAAATAAAAGTATATCTTACAGTAATATCCATTTTTACTTCACCTTTGAAGAGTTCCAAGCTAAGGAATATATAGAATTTTGAAAGGATATTTTGATTTTTGTTCATTATTAAAAAGGTCAAAGTTAAACCTGAATTGCAATACTGATGTTACAAAAACCTCTGTTTAGTTGTGATATCTCTGATAATGTAAAAACTGAAAAAAGGGGAGATAACTCTCATCACAGATGAAATATTTCTATTTTGACAATTCTTATGATATTGTATGGCAGCATAAATTCTGATTTTATGACATTGTAGAAATCTTATCCATTCTGATGCAGAACAAAGAAATTGTTGTGTGATGTAGGATATAGCCTTAAGCCTACCACAAATAATAACTGTAAGTGGTGTAAAACCTTAACTATTCAAATCAACGATGTGTAGGGAAGTATCAACAAATTCCTCAACAAATTATAAAGGTCTTTTAATTTGAAAGTGAAACAATTGTCAGAATAATTGAATATAATGACATTCAAAATCGGAATCTAATAATTTAAATCAATACTTAAAATGTCAAACTTTAAAAAGTCAATAATTTTTTTTTTTTTTTTTTAAAAAGTAAAAAATTTAAATGGTCCTCTAAACCTTTCTATGCAAGTTACTCATGGCTAACTCCTCCTTAAGATATTATTATTCTGGATAGAAGAAATCACCAAGACCTGGGCAGATATCTCCAGAATATAGAATTGGTTATAACAAGATGATAAGGGCTAATTAAATTGTGTATACTCTACACGCGAATCGTCACTTCCTGACACATCAATGGACATGAAGGGTCACAAGAGAATTTGTCCAAAAACTAGCTACACGGCCAATTTCTCACCTTTGCAGCATTCTCCATCATGCTCACACTGTAGGGCAAGTTAAAAAAGGATGGTGGTGTGTCTTGCACGTCTACAATGGTCACCACAAAGTCTGCATTGTCCTTGCATGGTTTTCCCAAACCATCCTAATTGGGTTAGATAGGTATATCAGGATTTATCAACCATAGATTTCAGGTGAGGCCATATACCATGTTTTTATCTATTTTGAGAATTTATTACACAACTTAAGAAAGTAAATCAATAAACACAATCACATCAATTTTCATTTATATTTGTGGTATGTCATTACAAAGATCACATTACAAACTGAAAACTGAGGACATTAAACTACATCATATGAAATTACAGCACTAAGATTAAGGAAATTGGGATGACATTGTGACGTCAGTATGACATCATAGATATTATGACATTATCAGCAGAGAATTAAGATAATAGACATGATATCATAACAGATTTAAGGCAACAGATACAACATTAATAGATTAACAGTAATAGACATTATATTATGAAAGAAGACATAAGGCAAGATAGAAATGAATGAGCTGTGACATCAGATCTGAAGTTACACTAGGATATTATGATGTTAAAACAATGACAGGTGTCAGTTGAAAATAAATGAAAAAAACAAATTTTTCTTTTATTCTTGTGGTAAAAAAATAATCCTGACCTGCTTATTAATGCATATGAGACTAGAAAACTTGTTTCATTTCAGTTTAGCAGAACCTGTTACACAAAAAAAACTTGAATAAAACTGAAAAATTCAGATGTATATATAAGCTGTGAGCACTATAGCTTATCAATAGCATTATATATTATATTATAACCTTAACACATCAGAAAACAATGGATTTTAACAGTCTCATGGTTTTCCAAGACTAGTATATGGACATAGCAGATCAGGTTTAGCTTCAATTCTAAATTCAACTCCAACTTTTAAAAATTTCTTTTCCTAAAAATTCAAGTTTATTTCTTTCCTCTTTTTTCCCATTTTCAAATTTTTCACATCAGCAAATGCTTTTAACTTTTGCTAAGGAAGATATATATATATATATAAAAACATATACATTAAAACACATCAACTTACGACTGCAGTGATGACAAATTCGTAAAAGTTGTGTTTTTCGTAGTCTAGTGGACTATTAACGATGATTTCACCGTTGTTTGGATCTATTCTGAAGGCGTTTTTATATTCGCTGTCGGCTGCCTGTGACAAAACAGGAGAAATCGTAATGACATGGACGTGAAAACAGGTGATAAAGTTGCAAATAAAACCTCCATTAGGAGGCCCCGACATTAAAACCAAGGTCATATTCATTAATGAGAGCATCAATCCCTCCCATTTCTGTTTTAATGCTCTCTTACAGCTTAACAAGATACTACAACGTAAAAAAAAAAAAAGAAAAAAATATAGGGATCATAGCAAATAGATGTGTTTTGAAACTTTGGCTTATTTCCAATATACTGTAAGTTAGAACGATACATCACCATTACACCTATTAAATTATTCTTCAGGTTCAATGTTTTTCAACCAATGTATTGATACACAACACAATAATCACAGAAAGTTAAAAAAAATCATTGTTCATGACCACGTAACTTGTCTAGGCTAAATCACTAATAATTTTTAGCATTCTTACGGACTGCTGTGTTACTACTATAACTTAACAAAACAAAACATTGTATCTACACAACATGGTAAAGAAAATAGAAACAATTATCAACTTCTAAACTAAGTCAATAGTTGTGCATGTGGTGATCCAAGAGCTTGAGTAATCTCAAAACTCCATGACTTAGAATAATAGGGTAATCCCAAATTTAGGGGATCCTAAACTGGTGACTTAGTCAAAAAGATTGGGGCGATCTCAAGCTGTTGAGTAAAGTAGCTAGAATATCTAGCTGAAGCTAGAACATGATTTACGAGGCAGCCTGTTTTGAAGGCCATATTGCCTTCAAATCAAATGATATCAACAAATGATTCAAACAGAGGCAGTATAGACCTTTACAATGCCTCTGCTGTAACCAAGCACACCATGGAGAATGCAGGCACAAGACTGACTGGCCTGGAAAATATTCATTTGAATGATATCTGGTTTAATTCTGATTGTTTACTTATGTTTAGTGAACCAAATTCTGCTTAATCAGAATATCATTCAATATGTTCCAGCAAATTTCTTCCTTGTGAATGATATACTATCGATTACTATTTTATAACATTTCACCTAGAACAACTTCAACTTTCAAGAATATGAATATTCATGAGAACAAACAAATCAACTTACCTGTGCGACTGGCTGAAACAACGACACAACAAAATCATTATAATTAAAGGAAATTAGGAAGCAGGTGAACTACATCACATGCAATATGTCTGTCTCAGTCTTCCTTTGTTACATATAATCATGATATTCTAAAATGTTAAGGTTCTACCATCACTGATCGATTCAAGAATAAATGCTACTTTGAAGTAGGGATGTGTTTGTCCCTGCCAGATGTCATGAGTTACCTGTTAGACTTGTCTCCCTTGATTTATATTCTGTAACTATTTAGCTACTAACTTGAACATAATTATAATTATTTCAATGATTTGACATGCTGTCTTACGTATCCTTCAAAACTATCATTTTGAAGTTGTTCATAAAAATGGGAACTTTCTTGAAGAGAAGGTGCAATTAAAGTAGCATATATCCTTGAATCTTTTTTTTTATTAATCACAGGTGAGTACAAAATTACTTTTATCAAATGGATGGATTTTTATTATCTTACTAATTCTATAAAACAATTATTTTATAATTCAGCAGTTATATAAACGTTGATTAAGATGTTATCAATGAAGGTAAATTTTTAACCCATTTTTGCTAGAGCAGAATTAATGAGTTAATGACACTTTGATCAAGTTTGACTGATAGTAAGTTTTGTTACTGGATACAAATATAGCACATACCTGCATGGAATAAATAACAGTTCCCCCAGGTCCATTGTCTGGGTCTGTAGCTGTTACTTTGGAAACAGTAACTCCAATAGTAGCATTCTGTAAATACAATTTTACAAATTAATCATCAAAATAACACATACAGGCAAAAAAATACTATAATTATCTTATATAACTTTCCATCTCAATTAAAAAAAATTTAATAGTGAATAAGAATAAAAAAGTTGAAATGTGAAATGTTTTACATTTTAATCCACTAGGCCCCTACACATATGCATCCATCCCTTTCTATGCAGTCTTCATCTATGACAATTTAAAGTGTCTTGCCCTGCAGTCCTGATCAATAAGTACACTAATATCTGTAAGACTTAAGACTTAAAGACTTCCTCCTCTCTGTAAATTATCAATGATTTCCCAGGATGTAATTCAATTCTCTCTTTATTTCAGGAGATTCTGTACAATTCGGGCTATTTCTCAGGGATGATTTTCTAGTTCCATAAATAGTAGTGGTACACGTAACCTTCACCTTAGACCCTCAAACTTATTCAAAGATTTCTATCAATAAGTTGTGTAACAGCTTTGATTAATATCCCTTCATGACTGTGATGAAATTGAGACACTCTCAGAAGAAAGTAACCGAAGAAAAACAAAAAACATTTATCAGCTTAATCAGTCATAAGCTAGAACTTTAAAAATTATTTCTTTCTAGAAATTACTGAAATATACACAGTTTTTGTATATCTGTTCTTTTATTTATGCAGCAATAAATGAATTCATTATCAAGAAAATATGGTTTCAAGACTTCAATATCTCATGCCAAGTCATTAGTCTGACCATATACATTCAGAGATCGGTCTGACCATATACATTCAGAGTTCAGTCTGACCATATACATTCAGATATCAGTCTGACCATATACATTCAGAGATCGGTCTGACCATATACATTCAGAGATCAGTCTGACCATATACATTCAGAGAGATCAGTCTGACCATATACATTCAGAGATCAGTCTGACCATATACATTCAGAGATCAGTCTGACCATATACATTCAGAGATCGGTCTGACCATATACATTCAGAGATCAGTCTGACCATATACATTCAGAGATCAGTCTGACCATATACATTCAGAGATCAGTCTGACCATATACATTCAGAGATCAGTCTGACCATATACATTCAGAGATCAGTCTGACCATATACATTCAGAGATCGGTCTGACCATATACATTCAGAGATCGGTCTGACCATATACATTCAGAGATCGTTCTGACCATTTACATTCAGAGAGATCAGTCTGACCATATACATTCAGAGTTCAGTCTGACCATATACATTCAGAGATCGGTCTGACCATATACATTCAGAGATCGGTCTGACCATATACATTCAGAGATCGTTCTGACCATTTACATTCAGAGAGATCAGTCTGACCATATACATTCAGAGTTCAGTCTGACCATATACATTCAGAGATCGGTCTGACCATATACATTCAGAGATCGTTCTGACCATTTACATTCAGAGAGATCAGTCTGACCATATACATTCAGAGATCGGTCTGACCATATACATTCAGAGATCAGTCTGACCATTTACATTCAGAGATCAGTCTGACCATTTACATTCAGAGATCGTTCTGACCATATACATTCAGAGATCAGTCTGACCATATACATTCAGAGATCAGTCTGACCATATACATTCAGAGATCGGTCTGACCATATACATTCAGAGATCTGTCTGACCATATACATTCAGAGATCGGTCTGACCATATACATTCAGAGATCTGTCTGACCATATACATTCAGAGATCGGTCTGACCATATACATTCAGAGATCGGTCTGACCATATACATTCAGAGATCGGTCTGACCATTTACATTCAGAGATCAGTCTGACCATATACATTCAGAGATCAGTCTGACCATATACATTCAGAGATCAGTCTGACCATATACATTCAGAGATCGGTCTGACCATATACATTCAGAGATCGTTCTGACCATTTACATTCAGAGAGATCAGTCTGACCATATACATTCAGAGAGATCAGTCTGATCATATACATTCAGAGATCAGTCTGACCATATACATTCAGAGATCGGTCTGATCAGTCTGACCATATATATTCAGAGATCAATCTGACCATTTACATTCAGAGATCAGTCTGACCATATACATTCAGAGATCAGTCTGACCATATACATTCAGATATCAGTCTGACCATATACATTCAGAGATGGGTCTGACCATTTACATTCAGAGACCATGAGTAACCGATTTGAGCATTGCTTCATTAAGCACAATACAACAAAGAAGACCCACCCAAGGGGGAAAATTATCCATAATGTCATTTTCTCCTGACTTCTGTTTTAATCCTGCCTGCCTGAGGGGACTTAAGCCTATTCATTTGGCGTGCTGTTTCTGCTATAATTGAGGTTACATATCCGCATGTGATATTGTGACCAATTTATCATAATGTCTTCAAAGTGTAAGCCGCTTGGCTCTGGGTCCTAAGGGATATTTCAACTGTAATCTATGCCAATTTGCTATGATATATCATTACAAACAATATTTGTCAATGCTTTGAATGTTATCTACAATGCTGTGATATCTGTTTCTGACATAGACAGAAATGTGACAACTACAACGCCACTCTGGGAGGAGAAATTTATTTTTGTCAGCTATTTCAGCTTGATTTTCCTGCAGGCACTGTGCTTGAGAAATAAGGTCATTATACCATGGTTATAGGTCAGTCTGGTTAACAGGCCCCTAATGAACACACCAATAATAAACAATATAAGCACAGAAATCCCAGGTATTGAGGCAATGTCCTAATTTATATAAATGATTAGGCTTTTTACGCTTACTCTATGTAGAAAAACTTGTTAAGCCAATGAAATTGCTTGTTACTCATACCTCTGCTACTGATGCCTTGTATCGAAGGTTACTGAATTCTGGTACCTCATCATTTACATCTCTGATGAACAGTGTCACATACACTGGAATCTGTCAAAGACAAAAAAAAAAAAAAAAAAAAAAAAAATTTAACCTGTATATAAAGAATTACACAAATATCTGAAAAGTAAAGGAGGAGAGTCAACCATTCATGTCAATATGCATAGTTTACCATTGGACTAGTAATGTAAGATACTGATTGCTATTTGAAATTAAATTGAAATGGTCTGTTCTAACCACTGACAATTAAACTGATGATTGTCATCAATGAATTGGACACTGCTGGAAGTAATTGACTATTTCTGTATTCCCTCCCTTTATCAATTAATTATTAATTTATTTACATTTTGAGGAGTTGGAGGGAAAAGATAATGCTTCTGATATGAAGATTACAGATTAAAAAAAAAAAATGAAAACACTGACGCTGTATTTCAATCAGAAATCAATGAAACCTGATGCAATTGAAAGAAAATCTGGTATCTGGATGAGTGTTGTATAAATGTTCCACAAGCTAAAAATAACATAAAAGTTCATAAAATGCTGAACATTGAGTGAAAAATAATATCTTATTTTTCTTCCAGATTTATTTCAATCTCCCTTGAAAACATGCTTGGAAACAATTTGGTTTGATGAATACCTATCATAATAAATTTTAAATTGAACCATTTTGTTTATTTGACAAATTCAGACTGACATTGGAAAGGAATGAAAATTTGTTCTCGCATAACCATTCTATTGACAATGAAATTGAATGATGTTGACTATTTTCAACAGTTTGAAAATCTTTAAACAAAACCCAGTGAGACTATCATGGTGTTAATAAAATCATCAATATTTGACTCCATAGAATTTTAGAACTTAATCAATGCCATAACATTCAGACATTTTATCAAGACTTAATCTACAAGGTGTTTTAAATCTGATTTTTCTGACAATACTGCATTCCAGGATCATCACCACGATAACAGAAGCGATCAATTGCAATCTGAAATATTCCAATTTATCATCTTTATTACAGAGAGTAGTGTCATGATTTTCTTCATATTTCAGAGTAATCTATCTTTTGTTTTTTCTTTTTTTTTACCTCTACAGAATGAAATTCTTCAAAATATTTCCACAAAAATGTTTTTATCCATTCTTCTTTTAAAACTTTTGAGCATGTATCAAGTGCAAGTGAAAGCAGAGTTCAATAAGATCTGAGCCATGATCTGGAAAGCTGAGCACTTAAGGTAATAGACAGTTTTACAAACTAAGACCATGCATGCATAAAGCAGATCTTCATTCCTAAAACTTCTGCCTATCCTAGCAACAAGCTCTAATATGATAATAAATAATAAGACACCCATATATTCTAGTTTCTATAAGCAACAAATGTTATATCATTATTCTCTAATAAGTTCACCTGCCTACCAATTACAGTCAAGAGATTATGTGATGACATACAGGCTTATTGCAACACTTACTATAAAAGTACAAGAAATCTACCTTCCCAATGACTACCATATATACATCATATAATTTCACAAGTCATCATAGAGTTAAAAAAAAGTCACTGTATTTGATTTATATGTTCCACACAACAGGACAGAAATAGATTGATAGAGTCAATTTTAGGGTGTGCAGTATTGATGGTGAACAGAGGTCATTATTTATTTCAATGCCTCCATCGGGATTTGAACAGAAGAACTCTGGCTTCCTATGTCTTATGCTCCACTGGTTTCGCAGAAGATCACTATAGCTGAGAAGCGTCTTGTGTTTAGTATTTTATCAGGGTTACATTTGTAACCAGTAACAACTGGTCTAATGTAACATGGTATTTCGACAAGAAAGTGTTGACAGCAAGCATCTTGGGTCCTTTTTAAACACTGTAACTGACTGAACTTTTAAGGATGTAGCTACCTTGCTGTGACTGAACTTAAGGATGTAGCTACCTTACTGTGACTTAACTTTTAAGGATGTAGCTACCTTACTGTGACTGAACTTCAGGAAGTATGTAACCTTACTGTGACTTAACTTTTAAGGATGTAGCTACCTTACTCTGCTGAACTTAAGGATGTAGCAACCTTACGATGCTGAACTTAAGGAAGTATGTAACCTTACTGTGACTTGACTTTTAAGGATGTAACTACCTTACTCTGCTGAACTTAAGGATGTAGCTACCTTACTGTGACTTAACTTTTAAGGATGTATGTAACCTTACTGTGACTTGACTTTTAAGGATGTAACTACCTTACTCTGCTGAACTTAAGGATGTAGCTACCTTACTCTGCTGAACTTAAGGATGTAGCAACCTTACTATGCTGAACTTAAGGAAGTATAAAACCTTACTGTGACTTGACTTTTAAGGATGTAGCTACCTTACTCTGCTGAACTTAAGGATGTAACTACCTTACTCTGCTGAACTTAAGGATGCAACTACCTTACTCTGCTGAACTTAAGGATGTAACTACCTTACTCTGCTGAACTTAAGGATGTATGACACTTTTCTGTCTTCACATAAAGTATATGTTTAAAAGCTGTCTAAATGGGATGATAAAAGATTCAGAACAAAGCTAATTTTCAAAATGCTTTAGTCAATGGAAACAAGTATCCAGGGTATCCCTGATAACACATGTAAATAAGCAGATAATGCTAATCAAATGTAATCAAAGGGGGGTAACTAAAAGTGATTCTACAGGTACAAGGTTTGATTGCATAAAACAATAATCAAAGACAACTTCATCCTTAAACTTATCTTAATATACATATAAAACTTTTATCTTATGTTTTGCCTAAATTTATCAGGAAAATAAAAACATTCTGAATTAAAACTGTACTTGTCAAGCTTAAATGTAAACCTTATTTACCATACTTATGACAATAGAGTGAAAAAAATGCACAGACGGATATCATGCAGCTGGTTATTTTAATTGTTAAATTTTTTTATTTCCTATTAAAACAATTGAAAAAAATTTCATAGTCCTGATTTTAAAAGGATGTTTAACATATGTGTCTCTTTATTTCATGTACTGAATTTTCGCAATCACAATAATGTACAACAAAATAGAGAAAACATCATCCCCATGTTGTATGGTATCTTTATAGGGTGAGAATGTGATGTTTAGCAAATACTGGTGGGAAGCATATGCCATTACAGTCCTTCCTGTGGTAAATAAGGATTTAACCCGAGTGATACCAACTAAGGTTACATCACTAAACAAGAATCATCAAAGTAGCAATGAAGAGAAGTTCACAAAGTGGGCTGTTAATGTCCAGAATGTGTTGAAATAGAAACATTTAGGGTCCTGGAAATGTTCAAACACTGATGCCAAAAGTCACATAAATATTGGGAGATTTTTGGTTGGAAAGGATGGATTGTAAAGATTTCAAACATTTTATGAACTCTTGGCAGGGCTTAAGAGTTATGCTTCAAGGAGTTCAACTTTCCTGATAAAACAAAATCTCAGAAATGTTCAAGGCCACATGGGATTGATTTGTGTGTATAGGCTCCAAAGTAAGGTTATAATTCACAATTCATAGCCAGTATAATTCACTATTAGAAACAGGGTCAGACAGAACTAGAAATAATTCCCTCCACAATCTCATTTAATAGGCAGCAAACGGCTCCATAATGAATTGTGGGTAATCGTACCATTTTGCCGTCGGAGGAGTATTTGGTATATAGAATTAAACACTCTGGTCATTTCTCTAGTCCCAGTGGACACATGCGATAGAAGCGAGGTCATAGGTGTATGTTGTATAAATTTTCATGGCTGGTGTATTTCTCCAATAACCAATCCATAGGTCTCCTGGTTCTAAGTTCTCTAGGTCATGTACATCAGATTCTATAGCTTGTTAACACTGTCTTCATCAGTCTGATTTATTTAAACCTATTAATTCAAATTTTCACAAAATCTTTATAGCACATCAATCTGATCCACCAAAATAAGATTTATCATGTTTATCACTTAGATTTCATCATAAAAAGGTTTTCATTTCGTAAGAATAAATTCAATCTCAGGTCATCATTATGTGTAATATCACAGCAATTGTGTTCAAAATATTGCCATCAGTGGTTATTCCTATATAGTATAGATTCAAAGAACAAGTCAACAGTGTCCCATCAGATGCAGACATGTTCAGACTTATTATATGATAATTTAATATTGTTATTAAATTATAGTTTATATACAATAAGTTCTCCTTGCTAGCTGACATAGCAATTTTCAATTAAGATTTTCATTATGTATTAGTGTTAGTGATTTTCCTTGCCCTGCAGGCATTATAATTTTGTTTATTTATGTATGCTGATGAGTTCTGGTTGATGCTAATTAATTGACCAATCAGCGTTCTCGGGGAGGATGCCCTGTTAGGGATCTGAAGGCCCCGCAGCATATAGTTTGAGTTTTTGGTGGAGGCATTTGTTTGTGAAATTTGTGCATTATCTTTCGTTTATTAACACTTTGCATACGTTCCTACCTTACCCTTATGGATATACCTTTATAAAGTGGCTTAAGGATGTGATTAGTCAACCTAATAGTGACGGAGTTTACTTTGTAACTTTTCTTTTGACATTTAATCCTTCGAGGAGTGCTGAGAGACTGGGTTCTCGCATTCGCCATTTTGGATACGTGTGTGTTTTCACGTAGGACTAGTTAAAAAGGACCTCTTCCACAAGTTCTTGTGGTGTGACGTATTTCCGCATTCACGCTCGACAACGAGATTTGGTGTTCTTGACGTTATAAACCCTTAGCTTACGGCTATTGATTGTGTTTACGTTTTTATTTTGTGTGTGTCAACTCCGACTAGTTATGGGACCCAAACGCAAGAACATTCGATCTGCGCCCTACGATCCCGAGCTTCTAGATAACTGGACGATCGCCAGGCTACAAGAGGAACTGCGCGCCCTAAACGTTCCGTTCCGCACTGGATGCAAACGCAGAAGTTTGGTGAGGATGCTGCGCGAAGCCAGGACAGCCAGCGTCCCTGTTACGGAAGTGAGAGCGGCTAACCCCGTCGTGCCTCATCGGGAAGGTGCGGTATCCCATGATACCTCGCGACAAGA